TAGTGTTTCATTTTCACAGCCTATAACACTAAAGACCATTCATATTAGCATTTTGCATGATTTCTATAACAATCCATCCATAGCTCAAAAGCATGACTCGTGTGACTCATTCAGTGACATGTGCAGTGGTTTAAGATCATCCAAATCCATCCATAACATTCATCAGACTCATTATAAGGTGTGTATGAGGTTATATACGTATTTTTAGACTAGTTTTTAATATTTTTATGAAACAACATACTGAAAAAATGTTTTTTTTTCTGTTTTTCCGTAATTTCCAGGCATTTTTTTCAATATGTTGTTTCAAAACCATTTGCGTACGACTTTAAGTGCAGTAAAAAAATCATATATATTGTGGACGTCCAACCTGGTCATCATCCTGCTTGCGGGTGTCATTTTTAATATATACAGGGTGATCACTCATATGAAATTTTTTTTAAATAATGTCACCCTGTATATATACCTTACTGGTAAGTAAATATACTGGTTTTATGTTGTTTATATTTCCCTAAAAGCGTACGCAAATGTTCATATCACCCGCAAGCGGTGGTGGCCAGGTTGGACTTCCGGAAGTGTTCACAACAAAATTCACTTTGTGTGATCATTGTATTCTTTCAGTGATCGAGGACAAAAGTGATGCCAAAGGACACCATCACAACGACAAAATCGCAGACGGAAAAACGAAAAAAGAACTGATTAATGAAGCCATAGTGTTTTTAAAGATTGTTATTTTTATTGCTGCCCTTGCACTAGCTGGCACAGTGTTGGCAGCACTGGCAGGGGTGGGGGTTTTGGCCCTTAAATGCTTGGCTGCAATTGGTCTGGTCAAATTCTTGGCTATTAAGAAATACGCCAGCTCACAACATCACCATCACGAGATTCATCACGACTAAAATGTGAACAAAATCGAAAGAGAAAAAAATCAGTTAAATATAAGAACGATAATATACTGTGATTTTGATTTTGGGATAAGATCTTGTTTTAGTATTTGAAGAATTTTGATTTAGCTTGACTTAAATAACGTTGTTTTGTTGTATGTATTTTTTAATGCTACATCATAAAAAAATAAAAACAAAAAATTTTGTCCAAAAAAAAAAAATTCATCAAAATCGGTTAAGCCGTTTTGGGGGAGAATTTTATATATTAGAATACACATAATTACATAGTGCCATTCATATAATAAATAAAAATTTTGTTAATAAGTAACTAAAATTTTTTGTGCCATTAAGTATACAGGGTGCTTCTGCAAGACCGTGGAAAATATTCTCAATTTTTTTTTACCAGTGACGTTCGTATGGGGTATCGACTGAATATTTTTGAAGAAAAAATAGTGTCCATATGGTTTTTCGTAAAATACAAATTATTTTTAGAATACCCTTTCAATTTAGAACAAATTATGTCTCTTGGTTTCTTTTGTCACACGCACAGCATTCGCAAAAAAAATATTTTAATGTCTAAATTGCCAAAAACAATAAAAAAAATATTCAAGAACCCTTTAGTTTTTGCAACTGATAGGTACGTCTATAAAAAACGTTGACGTTCTGTTAAAATGACATTTACATCGAGTTAAACTTAACAAAATTAACAATTACATGAGGTAAAACCAAAGAGAGTCAAACTTTCTGTATGCTTATTTTCAATTTGTTTTTAATTTTGACTTATGTTCATTAAAATCAAAGAAGCGATAGTCATACATTACTAACATCTACAGATGCATTAGCAATACATTTATATTTATTCTATTGTATTAAAAAACCTCGTTTATTTTTTCTTTTAGAGGCTATCGCTTTTTTTTATTCTGTGCCCTGTGACCCATAAATGCTGACAAATCTTATATTTGCGAAAATCACCCTTTCTTAAATAAGCTCTATGTTCTTTAATTCGAACATTTAAAGGTTTATATGTTTTACCTATATAAAATTTATGACATTCACATGGAATGTACGTAAAAATAAGCTATTTTCAAATTTCAAATCATATTAAAACAAGATCAATCCTACACTATAACTAAGCTTCTTCTACTGAATAGAAGACCAATTAAAAGAATCTATAAATAATTTTACAGCCAGAAAAAGCTCGAGCAAGTCAAAGAGACAACTGAGAAAAAAGAAAAACAAGGAAGGCATCATCACAAAACTGGTCAGATTCATCAAATACTTACTCTACGCCGCTGTATTATGGATCATGATCAACACAGTCTTGTCCATGTTCAATTCGTTCCTGATGTTCAAGTTTGTGGTGGCTGTGATGTGGGCAGTGGCTCTTTTAGCGGCCAAGGTTTGGCACTTGTTCAAAAGCGGTGGTGATCAGGTGGTGATCCACGAGGACGTTCACCACGATCATCACTACGAGGATGATCCTCATTTTGAACATGTGCCAGTGGACGATTGGAGCGGATGGAAAGACTATGCTTCGAGGAAGGATTATGCTTCGAATTTAGCTTACAGAGGTCAGAAGCAACAGTCTTCTGGATTATTGTCATCATGGTTAAACTAACCTACTGTTTCGTTAGAGTTCATGATGTTTTTTTGTTAAAGTAGATGATTCTCTGTAGCGGTACATGGAATGTTTTAATTCTGTATGTAAATCGGACACATTTGAAGAGAACTATGTACAGGGTGGGTCAAATTCGACGCTTTTAAATGGAAACACCCTTTTCTATAGGAGATTTCGTTAAATTGAAAAAAAAATCAGGTTCGTATTTAAAAAAATTAAGTTGATGATGGCCGCCAGAAACGTCACAGTCAATATTTAATCACACAGAGTTATAGAGCAAAAAAAGTGGCCATAAAAATGTGTTTTTCATTTTAAGTTACCTTAACAAATAAAGCCAGGAAAGAATAGAAAACAAAATTGAAAATTTCGTTTTTTTTTTCGAATATATTCGGAAGTATTCGGAATTTTTCAAAATGCAATACGGCATTTTATTGAGCATCAAATTGCGCAACTTTGTCTCCCTGTATCTCTTACGGTTTCCGAAATCCCAATGATGAGCGCCGAATTCGAGCCACCCTGTATTTACCAACACGTTTCTTTTTATTTTCTGTTTCTTTATTTTTATGTTTTTATTTTTAATTTTATTTTTGCCTTTAATTTTTTTCTTAAATATTGTTATTGTAAATCTAAGGTATCTAATAAAATATTTTTCTTGAAATAATTTTAAACAAATTGTGTACAAAATAAATGAAGCTTAAAAAATATCATTAGGTATTTGTATTTAAGTTCTTAATAGTAACTTAAACATTAATTATGTTATATTATATTTCACTTGCGAATTTTTTGTAATTTCACAAAATAATATAATTTTTCAACTTGTTTTTTATGAAATTATAAAAATATATCTATATTAATAGAATAATAATGTTATTTACGGTGTTATTTTGGATATTTTTATTAAGATTTACGTTGCCTTTTAAAATTGTAGTACAGAATGTTGAGCCATCGTCCAACGTGACGTCATATATATTGTCGAGCTCTCTCAATCTTTTTCTAAACAATACAAACTGATTTCAGACACACCCGCAAACTCATATTTTTTGACAAATAACGATGACGTAACGGTGAACGATGACTGAACAGTCTCTACATTATTTATTTTATTGTTTTATAATTAAATAAATTCAAAATGCCCAATCGACAACATCGTACGTCCTATGTGGTTTCAATGGTAACCAATTAAATGTTTTTGATGTAGAAAAACGTTTGATTGAATTTAGGTCAGTAGAAAATCAACCTCATTAATCTATGGTAAAAACAAGCAACTATTTAGCTTGTTAAGACGTGTAAGAGTACTATAAATATGCATATAATTAGAAGTACGAATTTCTACAAGTACTATAGTAAACTAATGTAATATGTGCGTATATTATTTAGTTTTAGTTTTATTTATTTTAAGATTTTTTTTAAATTTTAGATTTTTTTTGCCATTGGTTAGGCCATATGCTTGAGTCACCTAGTCACCATCTCATTTATTTAATACATTATTTATTTATTTAATTTATTTAATTTATTTGCAAACACTTATGTTATTCGGTAATGCATATTGCATCAAAAATTATTGTGTATTTTATTAAATAATATTAAAGACTTTTTCTAATTTTATTTTGTGTTTTTTTACGTCCTTTTTTATACATCGAAAGTAAATAATAATATATTATTTGCACTAATGTTCCTTTTTTTAAATAACCCTGTATAAATTAATAAATTCATACAAAATACTCAGAGGAAAATTAATATAGAGAGAAACTTACCATTATGTCATAATTTATAGTTGACTGAGACCCAAAGCAAAACAAAGCTATTGAAATAAACCAAAAAAGAAACTATGAAAAAAGGATGCTTCTAGATGATAAAATTATTTTTAAACTCCTTGCTGTCTTAACATATTCCACAGGGTGTTTCAAACTTTCACTAAAATAGCAACATTTTGTTTTCCCTCGTATAATTGACTTAAATAATGACTGAAAGTTCTTACTCTTCAAAGCAGTTAAAAAATATTTAGGTGGCGCCCTCTACTATTAGGAGTCATATTGACATCAAAATCAAATTTCTCATGTTAAAAAACTCCCAAACACCCATTTTCATCAAAATATTGACGTTACTTCAAAAATTATTTAGAAAAAATAGAAATAAAAATGAAACTTCTACACCCTATATCTACGAAACTAAACATTTTAGGGCGTACATTTATACGAACTTTTTACTTACTTTTATCTGCAGAATATGCTGACGAAGTTTCCGGAATGCATTTCGGACCACCCTGTATATTAAAATATAGTTTTACTGTAACATTAACAGTTAACTCTATAGAATATTCCACATCATTTAGGTCAGTCTCATCTTTTTAATTTCACTAAGTGAACTAAATTGTTATAACAAACATCTTTCTCGCCTAACTGATTATATCCACAAAAGCATTCATGTGTTATTGTTGCAATATTCTTGTAAATCCGTCTATGGAGTACAAAAAAACGACTAAAATAATCTAATAAAACTTTTAGAAATCAAGGAAACCAAAGAAACTAAACAGAAGAACGAAGAAACTGAACTGGAGACACGAAAAAAGGACGAAGATGACGATTTCAAAACTGGTTTGCAGAAATACCTCATGGACGTTGCTATGAAGTTAATTTTGCTCAAAATCGGCCTTATCGGAGTTGTGGTAGTACTGGTAGGGTTGCTAGGTCTGGTTGCCGGAGCAATATCCCTGAAACTACACGTTATAGCTTTAGTTTCCATTCTAATTCAAGGGATAATCAACAAAGCTAAATACGGACATATGAAGCATTAAAAACATGAGTAAAATTGATGAGTTTGTGATATTTGAGTTGTTTTTGAATGATAAATTTGTAAATAATAGTGTTTTTTAATTTATTTATTATATAACTTTAAGTGTTTAGTAATAATAAAATTTTTAGAATACTTCATTCTTAATTATAAATTTTATTTACAGCATAGGGAATACAATAATACAGGGTCTCCCAATATTCATGGACATACATTTTAGTACAAATATTTTTTTTATTTCTGAATTTTTTTAAGCATGTTTTTTCCAAAACAGACCTACAAAATATACAGGAAATTCCAATATTCCGTGGACGTAGAACAACTACGTATTTTTTTAATTAAAATTAGTTAATTGCGCGTTATTTACTTCTGAATTACTTCTTTTCCGTTAGAGGGCATCAATCAAATCCTATTATTGTAACACAGTGTCCTATTATTGCAACAAGGGATCCTATTATTGGAACACCCTGTATATAGTTAGAGTAGATCACTGTGTAGTACAGGATCCTTTCAATAGATCATAATATATCATAAAAAACAAAGTGAAAAATTTAACATGCAAAACCTTATACCAGAATATATTACAATAATTAAATTTATAAAAATTATTTTAAAAATTATAGGTATAGTGGTACCACCTAGGCTCTTATGCTTGAATTAGGAGATGTTGTAAGTAAGAATTCTGTTTACCATCAGGCAACCAAATATACATCTCCTGAAAATCATGGCGCGAAAGTTTGTACCAATTATTCTTTTAACTGTTTGTGTTCTATATATATATTTTTTTGAATTATTTTCCAAATCTTTACATAATTTGCTCTCCAAGTTGACGTTATTAGATTTTCATTCTGATGTTTCGTTTCTGAGCCAATTTAATTTATTTTAAATGCCGAAATCATACTATACAGGGTGGTCCGAACTGTATTCCGGAAACTTCGGCATCATATTGGGCAGATAAAAATAACTAAAAAAGTTCGAATAAATGTATGTTCTAAAATGCTTAGTTTCGGAGATACAGGGTGTAGAAGTTTCAGTTTTAGTTCGATTTTTCCCAAATAACTGTTGAAATAACGTCAATATTTGGATGAAAATCAGTATATGGGAGTTTTTTAACATGAGAAATTTGATTTTGATGTCAATATGGCTCCTACTTGTAGAGGGCGCCACCTACATATTTTTTAACTGGTTTGGAGAGTAATAACTTTTCGTCCGTACCTGTATAAAACTACTGTGTAAAAAATATACATTTACGACGTTTTCTATGTAAAAAAGGTCTCTTGGTAAAAACAGCTACAAGTAACGGTTCTCGAGATATTTGGAATCGAAATTATCACTACCTATCATCATTGTCAATAATGAACATTGGCGTAACTACAGGGGTGCCCGGGGGTGCCGGGCCCCCCCTTGTTCTTCTGGGCACCCCCAGAGAAATCCTGAATTATGACTCTTGGCTACATATTAATTTTATTTTGCTTGTGATGCAGTAAAAATGACGTTTTCTAGTTTTGTGTAGTTAGTATTATTTTGTTGTGTTAAAAAAGTGTGTTAATTTTTATTTTTTTTTAGAAAATTTGTAGGTATTTAAGTAATCTACGGAAACTCGGTTTGATAACCAAGTCTATGAAATGTAATGACAGAGAAATTCATGTAAAAGTTTTATTCAAAAAATGTGTTTTTTTTTAAATTATTTTTCATTTTTAAAAAAACAAAAGCCCTAAGGCCCATCTTGGTACTCAACCGCAGACCACCAAAATACATTTTTTATTATTATTATATTTTTTTACTCAGTAGTTTTATACAGGTACAGATGAAAAGTTATTATTCTACAAAGCAGTTAAAATATATGTAGGTGGCGCCCTCTATAAGTAGGAGTCATATTGACATCAAAATCAAATTTCTCATGTCAAAAAACTCCTAGACACCATTTTTCATCCAAATCAATATTTAACGTCAATAATCAATAACGCCAATACGTTACTTCATAAGTTCTTTGGAAAAAGTCGAAATAAAACTGAAACTTCTACGCCCTGTATCTCCCAAACTAAGCATTTTAGGACATAGTTCGGACCACACTGTGTATTACCACAGATTACACTGAAGACAAAAAAAAAATGTAGGATCAAGAAGTGTGCTGACATCACTAAATTTAAATTTAGGCTTAGCATTTATTTTGTGTTAGTTTGGTATTCAGGACAAAAGATTCAGTATGGTAATACATGTCTAATACCGTCTATTCAAACGGTAAATTCACCATACGCATTGCCAACTGTACGTACTTTCTTTAATAAAAACTCTTTCTTTGCGTTAAATTTGTTTAAAATCACACAAAAATAAAACAGGAATTATATTTCTTTAAAATATTTCTAGGTGTTGCCAGATCGAAAAAGAAAAAGGAAGAAAAAAAGAAAATGATGAAGAGCATTCATCTGCTCCTGCTCATCATGGCCGTCAAAGCCAAGGTGTTCCTGCTGCTGAAGCTGGCCAGCGTTGCCATGCTGGGCAAACTTCTGCTGATCAGCACGGCGCATCTTGTTGTTTCCATACTCAAGTATATTTCAAGTTTGAAGAAGCATTCTCATGATGAGAAACCGGTGGTTTACTATCACGATACGCATCACGATCATCATTACGATGATCACGTGGGTGTGGATGATCATTCTGGATGGTTCAGTTAATAACAAAACTCTGTGATGATCTGTATAGCGTAGAAATATCATTTCTATACAAATATACCGGGTGTGGCATCGTCGGACGGGACATAGGAAATCCCATGTAAATTTTAATGGGGTCACTTATTGGCTTCCCTAATTATTTTAGAGAATAATTCTATTTAGGTTTATTGAAGAGCACTAAAACCCACATTAGCTCGTTTACGAGTTATCGCCGATTTCTTTTTAAATATTTCTCCTTTCTTATGGCCCTGTATTTACTTATGAGCACCAGTCAAGGTAAAAGATAACTGTCAAATGAAGTTCTCATTTCAGAAATTTACCTATTTAGTGCTTTATTATTATTGAAAACTCATTCCTACATCGGAAATCTTAAAGATGTATTTATAAATACTAATTAATATGAATTAAAGTAAAATAAAGTAATCAATTACAAGGTTAATTATAGTATTATTACAATATTCAATAATTTATTAATTTAGGTACTATTAAATGACAACTTCATTTGACAGTTATCTTTTACCTTGACAGGTGCTCATAAGTAAATACAGGGCCATAAGAAAGGAGAAATATTTAAAAAGAAATCGGCGATAACTCGTAAACGAGCCAATCAAAAATATCTAAAGTTATTCTTTTGAATGTAAGTTTTACTGCTCTTCAATAAACCTAAATAGAATTATTCTCTAAAATAATTAGAGAAGCCAATAATTGACCCCATTAAAATTTATATGGGATTTCCTATGTCCCGCTCGACGATGCAACACCCAGTATATATAATTTAACATCTTATAACAGTTGTTGCTTTTGCCACCTTCCAGTGATGGATATAGCAAAGTTTGAAATAAAATGTTCTTTCTATGCCCACTGTGACGTCATTTTTTTTATTTCGTTGAGGCTATTATTTGCACATGGTGATATTTTTACCTTTTTATGTTAAATGGATGGTTAATAAGTGTATGTACCTTTTAAAGATACACTCTGTATGTAGAAAACAATACATGCCGTTTTTTTCGATCATATGGTATTTTTGTATTATTGTTATAGTAGTTATAAATATAGATATACAGGGTGTCCCAGGCTGAAAAACTTCTAATGCACGCTCAGTCTGGGACACCCTGTAGATAATATAGAGACTGTTCTGCCATCTTACAATCTACAGTCACATTTATGTCAAAAGAATTCATAGAATTAGTAGATATTTTTATTTTGATGAACTATGGGTGTTCTTAAGTCTTGTCATTTGTACAAAATTATTGATTTATTATTTATTACAATATTTTTTATGTTAAAAAAACAAGATAGTGTTTAAGCACCAAATATTGACTAAAATTTAAAGTTTCTGTAAATACGTACAATATATAATTCTAGTCTATTTAATATTATTTTATAAATATAAATGTTAAGTTATTTATTTTTTATATTATAAAATTTATTTATTTTTGTTTAGTAAAGCAAATTTAATATTGTAAGTAATTCTTATAGTATTATATAAATTTATTTTTTTAATGATTGTATTTTTTACTTCTTTTTTTTCAGAATATTTGATTACTGGTAGATATATAAAAAAGCTGCCTAAAATTTAAATAATTTTAGTGGGCCAACACAAGGCACCCAAAAATCTATTTAAAATAAGGCAGACGCCGTGTTCATTATTTTGGGTACTGCCCATTCATAAAACTAACGGATATTCCTCGGTAATTGGTGTTGAGGATATATAAATCGATTATAAAATACTATAATGTCTGTACAACTGTACAACCTACGAATTTTTAAGTACTAAAAAGAGAAAGAGAATAATATATACCTGTGTCGTCCATATTTGGGAGTATTGTTCCATAAATTTAACGTAGATATGACTAATAGTATCATTTCGATGGGTACTACTTGTGCTATTTTAATATGAAAAAAAATCCTGTAATTTACTACAATAAAAATTACTCTTATAGTAATTTAGAATTATATCAGGGTTGTTATAGGGATATTTTAATAAAAAAAAACATTAAAAATTGGAAAATATAAATGTTATCAAACGGTACTACCGTATGATAGAATAAAAACGGCGTCAGCGATGGCTATGAAATGAAGATCGCTGTCATTCTATATGTAAATTTATATGGGAAATGTCATCGATCGTCATTTCCAAGCCAACTGGACGCCGTTTTTATTCGATCATACGGTATTAGGTAGGTACTGGAAGGAATTTTAAAAACGTAATAAGTATAGAATAAGTACGCAAATGTATGTCATTCCCACAAAAAGACCAGCGAAAAAGAACGACAGACAATGTACTGATATCTAGTACTTCATCGGGTTAATGTACTTGATTTTTAACTTAATATTCAAAGAGGTACTGCTTCGTTCATTTCCGGAGGTCAGTCTACTAGCCCGTATTAATTTTTCTATGCACTCGACCACCATGGGCCCAATAAAAGACTTTAATAATTCAATGATTAATTAATTTAACAATATAATAAATGTTTATTTAAATATTGAAACTAGAATAAAAATAGTTATTTATGGTACTAGTGTGTTATCTTATACCGGGTGTTGCATCGTCGAGCGGGACATAGGAAATCCCATGTAAATTTTAATGGGGTCAATTATTGGCTTCCCTGATTATTTTATAGAGAATAATTCTATTTAGGTTTATTGAAGAGCACTAAAACCCACATTCAAAAGAATAACTTTAGATATAATTTACGAGTTATCGCCGATTTATTTTTAAAATATTTCTCCTACCTTATGGCCCTGTATTTACTTATGAGCACCAGTCAAGTTAAAAGATAACTGTCAAATAAAGTTGTCATTTCAGAAATTTACCTATTTAGTGCTTTATTATTATTGAAAACTCATACCTACATCGAAAATATTAGCCATGAATTACACTACCGAAGAAAAAGTATTAATGATTACATGGTATTTATCAAGGAAATAGTTATCAAAAGGTGTCGGACATGTTTGCTGCTCTGTATCCGAATAGACAGATACCTGGAAAATCTACAATCGCAAGGAATATCCAGAGATTTGAGACCAAAGGTACCCTAATAAATAACTGCAGATGAGAAGCAAGGCAGGAACAAAGAGTAGGTGCAAGAAATGATACCGACTTGGAAGTTTTATTGTGCGTGGAAGAGAACGATGGAAAGATCAGCATCTTGAGGATGAAATAGGAATAGATCACACTACGGCGTTTCGAATTTTGAAACGACATAAATACTATTCCTTCAAATATGAAAAGCACCAAGAGCTACGAGATGGGGACGAAATACGGCGGCAGGCGTTTTGTTTTGATATGATGGAAAGAGAAAACACGGATAGGGAATTTTTAAAAAACATATGTTTCACTGACGAATGCATGTTTACTTTAAATAATGAACCCAATGTTCAAAATTATCGATAATGGAACAAAGAAAACCAACACAGGCTTGTCGAAACAAGGACGCAATATCCACAGAAAGTAAATGTTTGGGCAGGGATATTCGGACACAATATTATCGGGCCATTATTTCTTACGCGAAATTTAAATGCAGAATATTATTTGGAACTACTCGAAAATCATATTTTACCTGCTTTACATGATAAAGTGTTAGGGAAAATCAGGAAGTTTGGTACCAAATGGATGGCTGCCCGGCACATAGTACCCTGGCTGTCCGGGAATATTTAGACAATAGTTTTAACGGAAACGTTATTGGCCTAAATCATACAGTAAATTGGCCAGCAAAGTTTCCTGATATTTCGCCAAATGATTTCTTTCTCTGGGGCCATTTAAAAAAACAGGATATACAAGGATAAAAAATATCCAAATCTAGACGAGTTAAAAAATGTTATTTCTGCCGAATGCAATAGAATTTCAGTTTACCAACTAGCGAATGTAAGAAGAGTATTTTATGATCGCCTGGGTTATTGTCTAGCAGTCGATGGAGGAATATTTGAACATCTTCTTAAATCCTAAAGTTCTAGCAATTTAATAGTAATTGATTACTTTATTTTACTTAAATTCATATTAATTTGTATTTATAAATACATCTTTAAGATTTCCGATGTAGGAATGAGTTTTCAATAATAATAAAGCACTAAATAGGTAAATTTCTGAAATGACAACTTCATTTGACAGTTATCTTTTACCTTGACTGGTGCTCATAAGTAAATACAGGGCCATAAGAAAGGAGAAATATTTAAAAAGAAATCGGCGATAACTCGTAAACCAGCTAATCAAAAATATCTAAAGTTATTCTTTTGAATGTGGGTTTTAGTGCTCTTCAATAAACCTAAATAGAATTATTCTCTAAAATAATCAGGGAAGCCAATAATTGACCCCATTAAAATTTACATGGGATTTCCTATGTCCCGCTCGACGATGCAACACCCGGTATGTTGATAGGAACTTTTTATCTGTAGAATTACCCACCGCAGTTAGATACACTATTTTTTTGACAACCTGTATATTATTATTCGAATTCTGTTATTTGTTACATCACAGTATCAAATTTTCCATAACACTGAACAGTTCAAAACTTCATATAGACATTTTTTGAAACTTTTGGTACTCAATCCCACCACCTAGGTACTTTCTTATCTATCCTCCGATTGGTGCAGATTGTCAACGCTATCGAGGACTCCTTCCTTTTGGTACTCCTTAAAAAGCGCTTGCAGTACTATTCTCGGCCACTATATAAAGTTTTTTTATTCCTGTGGTGTCACACAGTGGTCACAGAGTTGCGTGGCGATCGGTACTACAGGACAGTGGTCGTACATCATGCAGTTTTTGTGGGTTTTTCCGATTTTGGTTGGTGCAGTGTGGAGCTATCCCAGGGTAAGTACCAAATAATTTTCAAAATTATTTTACTTTAACATATTTCAACCTTTATTCCGATTAGATGTGTAAATCTTAAATAAAATCGTTCTTAAATTGTTATAAAATAAAATAAGTTACAAATATATAACTTAAAATAGATAAAATAATGTCTACACCTAATGTTTTACCTGGCAGTCTTACCTGTTAATTCAAAACGTATTAACAATCACTGAAAAAAACTGCATTTCAAAATCAATAAAATGAAAAATATATGTAATAATATACATGTACTGATTTCTTTCGAAAATCGACAACTATGAAACTATGAACCCTTCCCGGACACAAACGGTACATTGTGATACAGGAAATTGTAAAGAGAAACAAGCCCTATAACATAGGATACAACATTTTAATGAACAGTGCTTTCCATAAAATCAATAAAATGAAAAATATAGGAAATAATATACAGGTACTGATTTCTTTCGAAAATCGACAACTATGAAACTATGAATCCTTCCTGGACACAAACGGTACATTGTGAGACAGGAAATTGTAGAGAGAAACAAGCCCTATAACATAGGATACAACATTTTAATGAACAGTGCTTTCCATAAAATCAATAAAATGAAAAATATAGGAAATAATATACAGGTACTGATTTCTTTCGAAAATCGACAACTGTTTCTTCATTTTTTTTTAATTACTTATACGCGCGTTCAAAATTTCAGCCAAATCGGAAAAAAAGTTTATAATAATATAAGGTCTAATGTTGTATAGATAATGAATGGTACGGAACCCTTTGTGCACGAGTCCGACTCGCTCTTGACCATTTTTTTTAACATTACTTTTATACATTCTCCTGCATTACAGATAATGCCTGAGCAGATGTTGCCAGCCCAATTGCTGACTCTGCCCAGCAACGCCACAAGTATCCGGTCGGAAATCAGTGATTCTTTCAGCTGCGAAGGACGTGACTACGGCTACTATGCTGACGTAGAAAACGACTGTCAACTGTTCCACGTTTGTTTGCCCATGAGATATCAAGATGGCCGCAGCCAGATGTTCCGATGGAGTTTCATTTGCCCAGAGGAAACGATTTTCAATCAAGTGGGTATTTCACAAATTATAAAGCCAGATCTAATACAGTATGTCCCCGAATTGTCTTTAAAAGAGGAAACACTTTTTTATTATTGACATTTTGAGCTTTTGTTCTAAAATGGCTAATACCGTTTTAGCTATCTCTGACGTCACCTATCAAAAGTGTCGCGGTTTGTCACCAGGTACAAAGGTAAATAAAAACATTTTTTCTAAGTGTATTTTAATGTAGATATAAAATTAATTGTCAAATAAAACTTGAGGAACTTACGTTAAAATGATCTTCACAGCAAAATCTTGTACTTTTGCTGACACATTGTTGTCTTGCCGCTTCAAACCAGGCTCTTCGACGGCTTTCATCCAAAGGAACAGTTATAAAAACTTTTTCTGGAGAGCCTTCAGAGTTATTTAGACAGCTCTTTGCAAAACAAACTTTTACACCCTTCATTTCAAGCATAATAAAGAGGGCACAATAAAACAAAATTGAAAACTGAAAGTATTCAACGCCAAACGCAAAATGAATAACTTTGGTAGTGTTTAGTGCTTCGATAAAAATGGCAGTAACCTGTTAATAATAAAAATTTAAGTTTTAATTTCTCGTAGTAAAAAATATAAAAGTAAATTTAATATTGGGGGTAATAAAGAATAATCCCACATAAAAACGTATTTTTTAACGATTTTAATAAAAATAGAAAAATCTAACGTGATTTTAAGATATATGGTGTAAATACGGTAGCAGAGAACTAGACACGCCATAATATTATTCTTCAGAGGCTCGCGCCCTCTGTCAACTATTCAGTCAAATGGTGATAGGTGACGTCACAATTTTCTACGCGTCATTTCAAACCTGTGAAATTTGCATTGAATTTGCTTTATTATTTATTCCTTAATTGTAACTTCGTTGCATTTCTTTTTGTATTGAGGGAGTACCTTTTAATCACTTTAATTGAATTTTATATTAAAAATAACAAAAATTTACTATATGGTTAAATATCGGATTAATTTATTTTTGTTTTCTACAATATTTTGATCAAAAGAAAATTTATAAAAGTTGGCAACGCCGTGCGTGAGTTTATTTGATATGAACTATACATTTTAATGTTTTTTTTTTAATTTTCTCTAAATCTGAATTATTTTAGGAAATCTTCACATGCACTCGCTCAGATGAGTCGATAGACTGTGTAGAATCGCCAAGATTCTACGATTTGAACAGGAACTTTGGCAACGCTGAGCTGGAAATCTCGGGAACTGAGTTACCGTCAGCATCTAGCGGACTAGAAGACAGCGAGGTGGCAGTACCAGCCGAAGTACCGCAGAGTCTAGCCAGGACCATACCAAGGAAGGGAAAAATAGCTTAAATTTTAGTTAATTTCAAGATTTTAACAAATTCTTCGGTCTTAAAACCGTATGATTTTCAGAGAAATAAGTAAACATAGAATCTTTTTTAGAGCTTCTCTATTTTTACTTATTTTTCTAAGACCATGACCAATCCTAAATAAATTTCATTAAGAAGCTTACGAAATTGACCAAATTGGACAGTAAAATCAAGAAGCTACTTAATTTTATTTATTTTTTATTTACTTATAACAGTTTTTTTGCTGAAATGTTTCCAGTTTTTATTTTTTATTTGGAATAAAATTCTTTTTTGACCCTTGCTCCTAGATCTGAACAATTTAGATCTAGTGTCCTAGTGGCCTAGAGTGACTGTCAAATAAGAAAAAAAAATATTAGAAATTTGTTTTTATTACAAATAATAAATCTATAGTAAATTAAAAAGTTCTTTTATTTAATACTATACAATATACAGGGTGATCCGAACTGTATTCCGGAGATAAAAGGTTTGTATAAATGTATGTCCTAAAATGCCTAGTTTCGGAGATACAGGGTGTAGAAGTTTCATTTTTATTTCGATTTTTCCAAATATTTTCTGGAGTAACGTCAATATTTGGATCAAAATTGGGGTTTTTTTGAAGTGAGAAATTTGATTTTGATGTCAATATGACTCCTACTAGTACAGGGCGCCACCTACATATTTTTTAACTGGTTTGAAGAGTAATAACTTTTCGTCCGTACCTGTATAAAACTACTGAGTAAAAAAATATACATTTACGACGTTTTTTACGTAAAAAACGTCTCTTGGTAAAAATCGCTACGAGTATTGGTTTTGGAGATATTTCAAATCGAAATTATCAATACCTGTCATTCATTGACATAAATTAAACATGTTAACTAAATAGTTATTAGACTGAGATCATAAATTTGAAAGTTTTTGTGCCAAAAGTTCAACAGAAACTGTTTTGTCATCATTTTTTTGCAGAAAAAATTATGATTAATTTAAAAATATAAAAAATTCCCAAATTTATTATTTCAGTGAAATAACTTTTTCTTCTTTTCGTCAATAATGACATGTATTGACTATTTCCATTTTAAATATCTTGAGATTGGTCAATTGAAAATTAATTTGGTCAATTGAAAATTTGCATGGGATTTCCTGTTTCCTACAACGATACACCACCCGGTATAGACACTTAAATAGAAATATTTAGAATTATCTTCTTATTTATAGTAACAACTGTGATTATTTCTTAATAATCATCTTCAGCTTGTCCAAACTGACATTATTTTTGATTGTTCTCTATTGATTTTTTGATTATAATCTTTTCCTGTTTGGTTTAGTCGATATATTTTTAATTGTTTCGAAAAAATAATTCTTTTATCTGATTCCTTTAGATCAAGTATCAGTGCTATAGTTAAATAATGATTAAAATAACACTTAAGATATCGACTATAATACAAATACGTCACTAAAAGAAATTAATGTACGGTTTTTGATTAGGACAATATTTGATTATTTAGTGTAACTTATACTATTGATAGTAAATAGTTGCCTGAAAGTCTAAAATGAAGATTTCTCTCGATTATGTAGTGTTCTATTTAGTGTTTTTAGTGTCCAAAGTGAATAGTATTACCGATATTGATGTTCCTAGCTTTCAAAACGTGTTAGAATCTGTTAAAAGTAGCAATAATGACTTGAAGGTGAATTTAAGATGTTATGAACAGTTGGTATATTTGGCAGATCATCCTGAGGATGCTCTTAAAAGTAAGTATTTCTTTTTCTGTGTAGTTTTTTTTAATATAAGAGTCTATTGCGCCCTGTACTTTATATAGAAATATATATTATATCTCAGAAATCTGCCTTAGGCTTAGCCAGATCCTTTCGTGTTAAGCCACACCTAAATTCTAAAATTTAGGTGTGGCTTAAAAGCCCCACCTAAAATTCAAAACACACATGCTTTGATTAAGGCTTGATTAAGGTTTGCAGAGTTTCAGCATTTGCCATAAAATAACGAGCAATTTGTTACAAAACCATATAAATTATATATCGCTGTAATCACAAAACTTCAATCTATTTCCGTATTGTAACGGAATTTTAAATTATGTCTTTATTTTCGAGAAAATTTTAGTCCAAACTTAAGGAATACTTTGTTGATGTTTGAACATCGAAATCTTAAAAATAAAGAAGTTCTCTTAAAATGTGCTACAAAACGGATATAGTATAATCCTTTATCTTTAATTTCTTTCTTCATTTGTGTGAAAATATCTAGCCAGTTTTACATAAAACGTTAAATGCTGAACGCTTATTTTGTTACTTTTTCGGAAAAATTATTGAAATGAACTCTTAATTAGTTTTTGGTGGTTTGCAGTGGCTGATGCATGGTCCAAGGTGCACTCTGGATTGCTGGTAGCATCCAGTATAGACCTAGGTGACTGGGATGAATGTATGAGCATTGATATCAACCAAGAAAACGGTTTTAAACTGTTAGGTAAACACTGTGTTGGTGGTTTAATACTGCTAATCAACGAAACAGTAAGTAAGGCTTTTAGTATTTTCAATAAAATAGTAAGAAAAAAAAACGGATCTTTTTTTCTTATCTACACTGTAAATAATTACATTTAAAAATAAAATAATCGATAATTCATAATCAATTTCGAGTTCTATTTTTATCTAAAAAAAACGTTGGATTAATTAGACAGCTATGATGAAGTAACGTCAGACATATCACCAGCCATCTTTGTTATTTTACCAAATAACAAAGATCCACTCAGATCAAATCATGTAAATGAAAATATCTAGGATAATCTTTATTTGAGGGGTAGGCAACCTTAATTGTATTTTGAAGAGACATGGATTCTCCATTGAATATCAGAATAATGTACTGGGTGTTCCATTTAAAATAAAAAATAACATGCTTTTAAAAGTGACAAATGTTTAATATTAATTTTGTTTCACCCTGTATAACTTTTTGGATCAAGTTTTAATTTGACATAAAGTACAATAGTTAATTTAATTACATATTAGGCTATACCGGGTAAATTCCAATTTTGGTAGCTTTTATTGTAATTTAAAAATATGTCAAAAACCTTACATTTTAGTCATATACTTCTCTTATAAAACTTACCTTTATTTTTCTCCCAGAATTCGAAAATCAATTAATATATAAGGTGTTCTATTACAAAAAACACAACTTTGATATGTAACTTTTTTTTGGGACACCCTGTAGAAGTTACTTTTTAAAAAGTGCTCTGAATTAACCTACATATGCTCACAAAATTTCATTTCAACACAAACTGTCGTTCTCTTTGGAGCCTCCGCGTATGTATGAGCCACCCTGTATGTATATTATTTTCAGCTATTAGCTCAATCGATCTGTATTCCCAACGAATGCACTGCAGAAGATTTAATAAATTTAACAAGTATACCCACATTTTATGATGACAAATGTTCATTGAATACAGATAATACAACTTTAGATAAAGGAGCTATTATTAGTTTGTAAGTTTTTTCTTTCTTTCTTGTTTCGTAGAAAATAATTTATTTATTTTTATAATTTTATTTTAGGTTGATTTTTTGCTCAATAGGACATCTAATACTTCTCTCCACAATCTATGATGTATATCTGTATCTGAAAAATTCCAGTAAGACATCACAATATATTTTTACGAGTTTTTCTACATTTTTGTAATCTTTTAGAACCATATCACTCTATTTTGGTGGCATTTTCTCTATACACTAACGGTAAAAAGCTGTTCAAAACAACCAAGCATGCTCACCAACAAATTCTGTGTTTTCACGGTATCAAGGGTATCAGCATGATGTGGATTATTGCAGGACACGGAGCTGTAGGCTTAACAGAACTGCCCTTGTTCAATGTGGCAATGGGAAAAAATGTAAATGGACCAACATGCCGGCAGGTATGTCGTTGAGTGTGCGACCCGCTTTAATGTTTATTTTTATTTTTTAGTGGATGTACTATGGATATTCACACTACATTACGTCAGCTCACTTGGCTGTAGACTCGTTTTTCTTTATATCTGGATTTTTGCTGGCTTATTCGTATTTTAAAGGCCAGTATAAAAAATCAGTATTAGGGCAGATTTCTTCAGTGCCTCATATGATACTTCATAGATATTTAAGGTAATATTTAAGACCATAAAATATATAGTATGTCCCCGAGTTGTTTTTACAAGAGAAATTTATTTTTATTATTGACATTTTGAAAAAAAAAAAATTATTTATAAATACATTTTGCTTGTTCCAAAATGGTTAATCCTTTTTGCAAAAACCAAACCATATTTTCATGCTTTTTTTTAATTTTTTTTCTAAAACCATATGGAAATATGGAAAAACATAAACTGGATTAACCATTTTAAAACAAGCAAAATTTTTATGAAGAATGCATTTTTCTCAAAATTTTAATAATAAAAAAGTTTTTCCTCTTATAGAGAGAATCCGGGGACATACTGTATCGTATTTTAAAATAATATACATGTACTGATTTCTTTCGAAAATCGACAACTATGAAACTATGAACCCTTCCCGGACACAAACGGTACATTGTAAGACAGGAAATTTAGGTGGTAGCTTGGTAGAGAGAAAAAAGCCCTATAACATAGGATACAACATTTTAATGAACAGTGGTTTACATAAAATCAATAAAATGAAAAATATACGAAATAATTACATGTACTGATTTCTTTCGAAAATCGACAACTATGAAACTATGAACCCTTCCCCGATACAAACGGTACATTGTGAGACAGGAAATTGTAGAGAGAAACAAGCCTTATAACATAGGATACAACATTTTAATGAACAGTGCTTTCCATAAAATCAATAAAATAAAAAATATACGTATAACACAGTACAGAGTGTCCCTTAAATAACATCAAGTATTTTAGAGATTGGTTGTAATCTGGACAATAAAAGGAAAGAAAACATTTTTCTGTTTACCATTTTTAAAATAAATTGAAAATACAAACCGAGTTATTTAACTTTGTAAGTCAGAAAAAAAAATAATTCTTACATTTTGAGAACAACTGGCATCATCAAACCGTGTTGCCACATGGACAAGAAATCGCCAACGCTGTTTGTGATTCATTTGTGCATAATTTTTCAGGATATGAATTACATATTGTTGTTAATAATGTGATGAATAATAATATAATTAAATGAACACTTACTTTGGCTCTATACTAAATCAGATATATATCGAACCTATTTCATAATATTATACCAATACGATAAAAAAACGGCGTCAATGATCGGTAGTGAAAGATTTTTTAATTTCCCGAAAAATATAAAATTTTCAAAAATTCTTTTTTGCCAAAAAAAGCGTGTTTATGAAGTCGAAATATTCTACCATTTAAAATACTTGCACTAATATAAGAAACACCTTGTATATTGCAAAAAAAACAACGAAATTTTTTACAGGAACTTTGAAATTTTTTTTTAGGGTACTAAAGTGTGTTTTACAATAATTTTTAAATGATTTTAGGTTAACTCCTGCCCTTTTGATGCTTTTTCTCTACGTGGCATTCCTTAGTCGTTACGTAGGAGAGGGCCCTGTATTTAATTATAACTTAAAATCATTGAATATACCCTGTCACAAATACTGGTGGTCCTTATTCTTGTACGTTCAAAATTATTACAACAGAGAGGAATTGGTAAGTTAATAATCTTTTTTTTCATATTTTAACTGTTCGTATTTTATTTCGTTCATCTCATCATACCCACTGTGTCCCATCACCCTGTGTCCCAATATTCTGCGGGCATAGAACAACTACGTATTTTTTGAATCAGAATAAGTAAATTGCAAACAATTTACCGTTTTTTATTTCAGTGTATGACGCAGCTATGGTACGTATCTGCCGATATGCAACTCTACCTAATAGCACCTCTGATTTTAATTCCCATAGCTGTCATTTACAAGAAAAGTCCCAAGATTGCATTCATAAGCATGCTAGTATTGGATGCTTTGTTTGTAGCCGCCGCGATATATGTTAAACTCCAATTTAAGGATTATGACCCGTAAGTTTTATTTTTTTAGAATATTTTATGCATTTCTTACTTATATTATACAGGGTATCTCCTAAATTAGAACAAGTATTTCAAGAGGTGGTAGATCTGAACAAATCAAAAATATTATCTGTTTAAAATTAATCGAAAATATCAGTTAGTTACATTTTATTTTGCAAATTTAAACAAATAAACATTTAGAAAACCGCCAAAATGACTAGAAATGTATTAGTGTATGTCCAAAAATAAATACAGTACCTTATTCTAGGATTATTAGTATATGGACACTGATATAATAAATATCCCCAAATCTGTTAACTGCAACACTAGAAGAAATCTTCGTCAACTGGACTGGACCAACAAAGGATTAAAAATCGATAAAAAATAAACTTTACAGTGGTCTCAAAATAAATTCATCAAAAAAAAATTTTAGTACCAGTTCAAATACATGCAATTATTTCAGAGGTACCCTGTATAAAGGACATTTATACATTTTTAACACAATGCCTTAATAACTTGCTGATGATTTCGAGTAATTTTTAAAAAAATACTTCGTTAACGAGATGTTTTATTATACGAAAAAAATAATTAACTTTTAAGGATCTTTTAATTATTCCAGAAATTTGGATGAATATGACACTCATTCAAGACTAGGCGACTACTTCATAGGTTTCACATTCGGTATATTCGTCAGACACAACAGACAAAACTTCAAGAAACTACCAGAAGTACAGAACTATTGTTTAAATTCGATTTAAACCTCTATTAAGATTTTTTTAAATATTTTTAGAGACTCAACTTCATGATTTGGTGTGTAGTACTAGTAATTATGTACCTTTGCGTATATTTGTACCACATGAGCTTCAGATCGACACATTACAACGACAGAGCTATCGGATTTTGTTTGACCAGAACATTCTGGTGTATATGTCTGTGCTGGTTGGTTTTTAGCTGCCTTAATGGACAAGGAGGTTAGAATATAATTTAATTATAATAAAAAATTATACAATGAATAATTATTTAAATGTTTTTATTAAATAGGAATAATAAACTGGATTTTATCAAATGGGTTCATGCAGGTGCTTGGAAAGCTGACATATTGTCTTTATCTTGTACACGGGAGCGTTATGGTACCGTACTATTTATCAGTTAGGGGTCTCACCTATCTTTCTGATTATAATGCTGTAAGTATTATATTTTAACTGTACTAAATATAATAAATCTAATACAATACTTTAGGGACAAATAAATGTGAGTACATATTATTAATACATTTTAGAGTATATTGAAATGAAATGTTTTGAAATATGTATATTAGAATACATAAAAATATTTTGAATTTATATTGAAATATCTCATAAAGTTTTTTTTTATAGTTTTACCTATGGTGTGGCCATTTTCTGACAAGCTTATTGGTTGGTACTCTATGGTCATTATCGTTTGAATCCCCAATGATAACGTTAGAAAAAATTATATTTTCAAACAAGAGTAAGTATTTAATACAGGGTGTCCGGAAATTAATGCAACAAAATTTGGTCATAGATTCTTGAAAAAAAATAAGTAACCCATATTTTTTATTTTTGGCGAGTGACCCCCCTTTTCGGATTTACAGCCCCCTGAATTCCGCCCCTAAAAAGAGTTTTTATTTAATATCTCAGGGGCCTGTTGGACGAAAATCACTAAATTTGGTATACGTTGTTTTACTATAAAATGACATTTTTTGGTCGTCCCTACGGTATTTAAACTAAATATTATTGAAGAAAAAAATGGACGTCGCTGTTTTTTTTTAAATAAAAATTATTTTTAAAATCTACATTAAATTTGGAACAAATTTGATCCCTTGACTTTTTTCCGTACGACGCACCGTTTTGGCGTAAAAAAATAAAAACCATTTTTATACATGACTAAATCGCTAAAATTTTACCGTAAATTTCAATGGCAAAATTTTTAAAACGGCAAACTTAAGTTTAAAATAATTTTTTATTTTCCAAAATGTTGTTTTTATTACCTAAGTGCGAACCAAAATGTCCAAAATTCTAAATTGCCGTTTTTTAAATTTTACAATGAAAATTTACATTAAAATTTTAGCGATTTGGTCATGTATGAAAATGGTTTTTTATTTTTTTACGCAAAAACAGTCAAGAGATCAAATTTGTTCCAAATTTAATGTAGATTTTAAAAATAATTTTTATTTAAAAAAAAACAGTGGCGTACCATTTTTTTCTTCAATAATATTTAGTTTAATTTAAACACCGTAGGGACGCCACTGATAAAAAAAAAGTTAATAGCCTCAAAAAATGTCATTTTATGGTAAAACAACGTATACCAAATTTAGTGATTTTCGTCCAACAGGCCCCTGAGATATTAAAAAAAACTCATTTTAGGGGCAAAATTCAAAAGGCTGTGAATCCGAAAAGGGGGGCCACTGGCCAAAAATAAAAAATACGGGTCGCCTATTTTCTTTTCAAGAATCTATGACCAAATTTTGTTGCATTAATTTCCGGACACCCTGTATATCTGGTCTTAGAATTGCCTTAGAATTTTGCGAATATATTTTTTAGTGTTATAATAATTTTATTTTTTACAGCCAGTAAACCTGCGAAAAATGAAGAAACAGAACATCATCAAAACAATATTGCCTAAAGATAAATAAAAACATTCATAAGAAATATATAAAGAATATCTGAAACCGAAGATATTATAAGCTATATTCGATGCGCGATTTTTATATTCATTGTTGCCAGCTAGGGAATGCAATCCCGCACCAAAATATCAATCCCGCAAACGGGTCATACGTATGACTAAAAATGCATATTTTTCGAAAAAACGTCGTATTTTCCTTAAAACAAAACAAAAAAAACCGATCAATTTTTTTTTTCTATTTTCAATACAGATTCGTCGTACTTGGTAAAAATTTCGATTTTTTAAAACTCGTATATTTGCGGTAAAAAAGATTCTTTGCCAAATTTTCACTCTCTTATAAAACACCCTGTATAAGAGAATTCGCTAAATATATTTTCGAAAACCACATCAGCATCTTCATCACAATAAATGCATCTAAAACCTGGTCCAACTCGTCGGCCCGGAATGTAGTAAGTAATGTGTCAATCATGCGGATCCCGCAAGATAAATCCCCCAACTTCGATCCCGCGGAATCTCAGAGGGATCGCGCATTTGCGGGATTGCATTCCCTATATGTAACAGAGAGGACCAATAGAACTTGACTCAAATAGTTTTATCAATAATAATAAAGATGAATTTATAATTATACTTATTTTATTGTTGTTAAGTTGTAGGCACAACAAAAATATAAGATGTTTTGTTATGTATAGTTGTGAGGATGTTATGTTTGTAGTGTACATATATTTATTTTTTTAATGTTAATGTTTTTAATATAAAAAAACTCAAAAGTTTTGGTTTCAATTGATTTTTGAATACAATGTTTTTATAGTCTTTATACGCAACGCTCGGTATAGTATTAAATATTTGAACGTATCTGAATGTCAATCTCAACAAATGATGCAACAAATCAATAGGTATCTTCTTACTAAAAATATTTCACAATACTACACAGGTCTTACTTCAAAAATACGTAAAACAAATAATAATCATACCTATCTATTAACCACTCTTTAGAGATAACATTATTACAACACATATTTACTTTAACTGAATACTGTATTTGAAATATGTATAACAAAGCGTATGAGATAGTTTAAAATAAATAATGATCCCAAAATTACACAGTATTGCAATTCAGTTTCTTGACAATATGGTGAAGGAGCTTTAATTTCAAAATACTGTAATGAAAGAAAAACTTAATAAAATCTATTATAATTAATTTTATTGTCTATATAATTATGAATTTTTGTCTGAAACTTTAAAAAATGATGTCTAGGGGTTAATACAATAAAAATTAGAATAAATACTTATTTCATAGACCAATATGTGTTCTAAATCCTTGTAATTTTTCATACAGCTGGAAGAAAAATAATAGACCTGTAGTAATAAAATATTAAAAAAAAAATGTTTTTAATAAAAAGACACTAACTATATGCAAGAGATTTATATCTAGTTATTTCATATAATATGTATGTGGTATCCCTTTTATTAAATAATTAAATATTCTTCCATGACATTTTACCATAAAAAATAGTTATAGAAAAATCAGATTTTGCATGTTACTCTAAGAAGATGTATGTCAGTTCGAAAGACAAACCCTTTTTCTATACATTGCTGACTTTAAAGCTACAATTTTGGTATCCTGCTGGAGATCAGTTTCACGAAAAAGTATTTTTCTATATTATGTTTGCATTTTTTCGAATCTTGTCTTTCCTAGTAGGCGCTGGAACTACAATTCTTTTAGTAATTGTTATGACAAGTAAGTACTATATAAAAAATGATACTTTTTGTCATGGGCGTAGCCAAGGTGTTCCCCAGGATGGAACAAGAAAACAAGGAAATTTATCATAACATAAAAAATTTATTAAAAAAACATGTTTGGTTTATAATTTGTAAGTATTATATTTTAGCATTAACTTTTCTCGAGTTCTGGCTAAACTTGGACAAAATTTCTTTTTCATACTGATCCTTCGCGTTTAAAACTCTTTTTCGATGGACGCTCATCATGCAAAGTCCAACAAGTCGTTGTTCCGACATTATCAATGAATATTAGAGAATCGCTGTTCTAAAGACATTATCAATGAATCCAGATACGGAATTATGAAAGATCTCGTCCAGTACTCGAAAGAAGAAGCTGCTGGAGGATTTGCACGAAGCGTTTGTCGATTTGTAACCCTCGGCATTTTAAAATCCGTATTTTATTATGCTTACGCTTTCGTCATTAACATTTTCCCGGTGTGTTTTTGAAAGGGTTGTGATTCTTTTTATATGGTTCATACATTGTAGTAAGTCCAAACTTCTGACTGCAAAACATTTACAACAGGTTGCAAAAATGCAGAATATTTTGCTATTAAGCAGGCACTAACAATAAACTCAGAATTGGAAGCAGCACAATGCATTTGAAAAGCAGCTTTTCTCGTAGCTGCATTGCCATCTGTTGAGAGTGTTTTAAAGCAGCCACGATTTTTACATAATGCTCTCTAAAAATGGCGATGCTTCTGTATTTTTGAGACCAGCGGGCTTCACAGAACATCGGCACGTTTGGAACGAATTTTCGCCGAAGTGGGGATTCTCGAAAAAAAATTATTATTTCTTTTATTGTGGCCACTGTATTTCGAATCACTGCTAACTGGTTTAAATCGTTCACCACTAAATTAAGTTTGTGGCCAGCACAATGAAAATACAGCCCGTGCTTGTACTTTTCCCGAAGAATTTTTTGTACACCGCCGTCCTTTCCAGCCATGGTACACCCATGAACACCCATCGTACCCTTGTCCGACGCAATTTTCAGGGTCAAGGCCTGCGTTGGCTAGGAAACTATCAATGGCTGAGGCTATAGAAATAGCGTCCATGGCACTTAGTTCCACGAACCCCCCAGAAATTCTTCTCGGATCATCATATGTCCTTCATCAAAAAACCTCGTGCCAATAGAAAGTTGTTCTTTTCCGGAAATATTGCTGCTTTCATCGGCTAGTATACTGTATTGTATGTGCATGCCTTTTTAATATCCACAATGATATATATATCCTCTCTTATGACCTCACCACAAAGGTCAATAATTCCATTCTGAATTTGTGGTGACAGGTAGGCGGCATTTTTTGCGCCCTTCTCAAGGTGTGTTTTCGAAAACTCCCTCGTGCAGTTCTTTGCTCCTTAAAATCAAATCATGTGTCCCACAAAAAATGACGGTTGAAATTATTGATGCTAAAATCTTCTTATTCGCTTCTATTACACTTTTATGAGCGGAGATCAGCTGCACATCAACTGGTAAGTTCTCATCGAAAGATTTTGCAGCTGTAGCTGCCGATTTATGCCATTGAGATGATCTATGCGATTTGGCAAACTCGTGCATATCTTTATAGCGGGTAAACGGCCGAACTATAAACGAGCCTAGGACACCTTGCACATTAGTATTGGAGTAGGCAAGCCAAGGAGCATATTCAGATAGCCAGCTGACTTTAAATTTCCTTTTCAACTGAACAGCATCCTTGGTAAAGTCATAACTGGCAGGTGGGGACCAGCAGTTTTTTAAAACTTGTCTTCTTTGCACTGATGTCATACTAAATGAACGTCCAACCCAGTTACCAACGTCATTTTCAGACTAGGATTCATCGAATGTTATGCTGGATCCGGACGGTAGCAAAGATTGACTCGGTGTATCCAAAACGACAGGGGTGCTAGGACTGATATTTTGTTTTGACTTTTCTTCCCCGCCCCTATCACTCTCGCCACTACTTTTATCTGCTTGCTTCCTTTTCTGACATACCCAGTTAAGAGGTTCAGGAAGTAAGTAGGGTAGGATCATTTGAATTTAAATTTTTTTAGTTATATAATTTTATTTTTTTTAACAAGTTCCGTCCAGGGGGGGGGGCAAGCGCCCCACCCTGGCTACGCCCATGCTTTTTGTGGTCAGGCTGTACGTTTGAAATTACATCCGAGGCTGAAAAAGTCATTTTCACTCCGAATAGAACATGCAATTTTTTTTAAATGCCACAAATAATTTTTAAACAACTTTAAACGTTGCAAATAAAAATATTTAAAAGTAATATTTTAGGGCTAGACACAAGTCTTAGAAACCGATTTCCATAACGTTTTAGAAAATGTTTAAAAATAAATAATAATAATAGCATGACATTCTCAAATTATCCGCTTTCACAAAAAATCTTGTATGAAATTCGTTGCGAAAAGATTGTTTTAAGCACTCGCATTGTTCAATGACAATTTTGCGTCCCGTGCTTAAAACACATTCATTTCGCAACTTGTTACATAAATAGCTATTTTGTACTTTTGTGCTTAGACGTTAAAATGCTTCTTTTATATTGTCAATCACGTCGCAATAATTAATACTTTTGTGGCGTTAGAAAAAAAAGACCCTTTTTCATAATTTTTGTTTTATTGTAGATGATATTGATCTGGATATCAGCGAAGCCCTGGGAGACATCTTGGGGCTCTTCGGTTGCAACATAGTCGACGGCCTTTTTTTCTTTTACCGTGACCGATGGTCAAGCCTCATGCACCAACTAACCGACTTTCGCAAATTCGGCGTACCTCCATCGTACTACCAAACTGTCAAAAAGATGAATCTATTGTTTACCATAGCCATGGCCTACACAGTACCCAGCATAATCCTTTATTGTTTTGTCAGCTATCTAACTATTGGAGAATGCGAAGAGGTGAATGCTAGAACTGGCTTGAATCAGCACTGTGCATTGCTGAATCCGACCTGGTTGCCTATAGGCGAACTTAGAGGATATTCTAAAATACTGTTTTATGTCTTGCAGTTGGTTGGGATAGGTAGATATATAAATTATCATTGATATATCATCATGATCATTCCCACCTTATTATACAAAAATATACCGGGTGTTGCATCGTCGAGCGGGACATAGGAAATCCCATGTAAATTTTAATGGGGTCAATTATTGACTTCCTTAATTATTTTAGAGAATAATTCTATTTAGGTATATTGAAGAGCACTAAAACCCACATTCAAAAGAATAACTTTAGATATCTTTGATTAGCTCGTTTACGAGTTATCGCCGATTTCTTTTTAAATATTTCTCCTTTCTTATGGCCCTGTATTTACTTATGAGCACCAGTCAAGGTAAAAGATAACTGTCAAATGAAGTTGTCATTTCAGAAATTTACCTATTTAGTGCTTTATTATTATTGAAAACTCATTCCTACATCGGAAATCTTAAAGATCTATTTATAAATACAAATTAATATGAATTAAGGTGACAAGGTGAATTATAGTATTATTACAATATTCAATAACTTATTAATTTAGGTACTATTAAATTGTTAGAACTTTAGGATTTAAGAAGATGTTCAAATATTCCTCCATCGACTGCTAGACAATAACCCAGGCGATCAAAAAATTCTCTTCTTAAGCTTCGTACAGACCTGAATGTTGTACCGAACAACAAACGGAATGGCAAATGAAGACGAAAAATTGAAAACTTATTTTCGGCGAACCGAACAGCAAACGAAACATATTTTTGCATTCCTAGTAATTTTTCCAATATCGATGCTGCACCAGTTGATGCACCTACCCGAAACAGTTCCTCAGCTCTTTTTAATTTTAGAATTTTTACGCCGAAAGAATGGTAGTAACAAACTCATTTTCTTTTTACACTCGTCTGGGTCTATATTAATTTGTTGAGCAATGTCCTTCCATGCATCTTGTTATATAATATAATAACTTCTGTTTTTGGTACAATCTTCTTAAATCAAAACAGTTCTCTTCCGACTACTAAATTATGCGTGGCGAAAATCTAAATAGTATGTAAAGCAGGTAAAATATGATTTTCGGGTAGTTCCAAATAATATTCTGCATTTAAATTTTGCGTAAGAAATAATGGCCCGATAATATTGTGTCCGAATATCCCTGCCCAAACATTTATTTTCTGTGCATATTGCGTCCTTGTTTCGACAAACCTGTGTTGGTTTTCTTTGTTCCAATATCGATAATTTTGAACATTGGTTCATTATTTAAGGTAAACGTGCATTCGTCAGTGAAACATATGTTTTTTAAAAATTCCCTATCCGTGTTTGCTCTTTCCATCATATCAAAACAAAACGCCTGCCGCCGTATTTCGTCCCCATCTCGTAGCTCTTGGTGCTTTTCATATTTGAAGGAATAGTATTTATGTCGTTTCAAAATTCGAAACGCTGTAGTGTGATCTATTCCTATTTCATCCTCAAGTTTCCTTGTGCTGATCTTTCCATCGTTCTCTTCCACGCACAATAAAACTTCCAAGTCGGTATCATTTCTTGCATCTTCTCTTTGTTCCTGCCTTGCTTCACATCTGCAGTTATTTATTAGGGTACCTTTGGTCTCAAATCTCTGGATATTCCTTGCGATTGTAGATTTTCCAGGTATCGGTCTATTCGGATACAGAGCAGCAAACATGTCCGACACCTTTTGATAACTATTTCCTTGATAATACCATTTAATCATCAATACTTTTTCTTCGGTAGTGTAATTCATGGCTAATATTTTCGATGTAGGTATGAGTTTTCAATAATAATAAAGCACTAAATAGGTAAATTTCTGAACTGACAACTTTTTTGAAACACCCTGTATATTCTATAATAATTTTAAAATGTGTATCTTAACCGTCCCTATAACTTTTATATTTAATATTTTTTTTGTAAACCTCGAAACAAATGATCTCAGCATTATCTAATGGACTTTACTCTATCGTTGACTCACCCTGTACATTACTTCATTATTTCATAAATTTACAGGTAGTTATATACCAGCTAGCTTGGCAATCACCCTGATTACTCTGGAAGTAGTAGAAATACTTCTTTGCCGAGTACATCACCTAAAAGGTTTGTATAAAGCTATGTTTGATACTGAAAACTCAGTTGAGTGTGCTGAGAAGCTAAAATTTTGCTTGGAATACCATCAGGACACTCTTGGGCGAGTATTTCGAAATAAAAAAGTCATATATACACTCTTTGACCAAAAAAATTGTTCAACTATATAAATTTCTATTGTAGCTTAGCAGAAAAACTTAGAGATTTGGTTACTAACACAACTGGTCCACTGTATCTTGTGGCAGCACTTATAATAGGTGCTCTAGGAAGCCAGGCCATCAAAGTAGTTTGATTTTTTTTAAATGCTTAAAATTTACTGATTTTTTCGTAGGAATCCATACCGAAAGCTTTGTTATATTGTACTGGATACATGGCAGGGGTATTCTTGTTATGCCATGCTGGACAAAAGCTCATAAATGAGGTATAACAAGTTATTATTAAGTGTTTTTGTTTATATTTTTTCAAAATTCAGACAGAAAGCTTGGCAGATTCAGTGTATAACAGCAACTGGTATGAAAAAGACGCCAAGTTAATGAGAAACTTAATTCTGATCATCAAACGATCACAGAAACCTTTGAAGTTTCATGCTATACCTTCAGGTGAATACAGCTACATGGCTTACACAATTGTGAGTATAAAAAGAGCAAAATATATTTTGTATTTATAATTATTGGTGAATGCAGTGTGCATTCACCAATTAATAGACTACTTAAATGCTCCTAATTTTATCTAGTCTGGTATTTTTTATGGGGATATGTTAAAGACAGTGTTTACAAAACTCGACCAACTATTGTCGAGAACATGAGAGAAATTATTGTAGCTGCTTTTCGAGTTAGAACTCCACATATGCCTTTTAAAATGAAAAGATCCTTTTGAAAAGATAATCATTTTATGCAGTTAACAGGAAAGGAATCATTTTGAGCACTGGCTTTCATCTAGCTAATTTTTGTCATATAATTATAGGTTTATATCTAGTTTTAATTCTGTAATAATTAAAAGATATTTTAAACGTTTGTATCTTTTTTTATTAACGTTGAGTATTTTACTCTACAATTTTTAATTTTTGTTAAATTAAAAAAAGGTTTATCACACAGCCACCTAGATTTTTTTCAAATAATGAAGATCTACTGACGCAAAATCATAAAAATTAAAATATCTAGGAAAATCTTTGTCTGAGGGGTAGGAAACCTTAATAACATTTTGAAGATATATAAATTCCCCATTTGAACACCGGAAAAATATACTGGGCGTTCCATTTAAAATAAACGTTGTACGTTACCCTAGTTTTTGCTAAATTCATTTTGAGACTTGTGTCATTTTGAGAGATTGTAGTTCTCCAGAACTGTTGGCAATTAGGACAATGTCATCAGCGAATCTTAGATGAATGAGTTACTCTATGCTAACTTAATTCTTCTTTTGATTTCTGGTGGTACAAAATAATTTAATTGATATGTTATGATGTATTGTTATAATTTTTTTAAAAAATAATGTATATTTTTTAGCTTGTGAAGACAGCATATTCCTACATAACTCTCCTAAACAGAGTAGTTTAAGAATAAATAATCCAGATTCATAAATAGAACAGATTTAAAGGAAAGCTTTTTGTAGTAAATAAATATTTGTAGTATACATTGCGTAAAAATGTTTAAAATTCATAAATTTAATATCATATACTTATGGGGTTTAAAGAAAATGTTATTAGATCAATAATAGAGCTTTCTGGATTGTAGATACTAAATAAACTTAGATTTATATTAGTAAATATTACGATTCTGAAGAATTTTCAAACATAGAACATGCTGTGAAACCTTTGTCACTTTAATGGAATGAAGCTATAAATAACATGTATAATCTTGGCAATGAAATAAACCATGAAAATCATTTACTTTGTTTCATTCCAATAATTTTTTCGCAACTGAGAACATTGAAAAAATCCCAAAATAATTTTAAAAATTGCGAAAAATTTTCCACAAATACATGAACGTATTTTTAAAATTTATCAGCAAATACTTGATAAAATTACAGTATAGGTACACGTGAAATTGTTTTATTAATTAAAAAAAATAATTAAAAGTGAAAGTATTGTACTGAGTAAATTTAAAATATTTTTTATTTATTGAAGATTGGTTTCAAAATAATTATTTATGGATTGAGAAGGTCAGACTGACACCAGGCAGTTAAATGAACTCCCTGTTTTTGACCAGGAATGATAATATATTTAGTAGAACCACAATGTCAAGACCACAATAATTATTTTCATTGTTGTCGTTATTTCAAATTGAATTGCTTTTTAAAATTCTAAAAGAAATACACAAATTATTGAATACTTAAAATAGAGTTCTAAACAGTGTCGATATGACATTACGACAATATTAGTCACCAAAATCACCTCGTGATATTAAAGAATCACATCACAAAGTAACGATAGTTGAAAAAATTGCAAATTGCTGGTGGCAAGTTCATTTCGCTCTCAAAAATTAACCAAGGCACGTGTTGACATGAGTCAAAAAAGAAAATGCTCAGGAGGCATGGTTCTGATCGAAAAATAATGTTTTTGGAAAAGTTACTCACGAAATTATTGCACAGGGTGTTTTAAAGTTAATGTAAAAAATAACCCTTCAATTAACCCTGTATAATAAGCCAAATACTAAAGTTTATAAAAAATTGAGTTTATGAATTAACAGTTTGCTAAAAAATTCATGAAAATAGGGCTAAAAGATTTTTTTGCATCTGAGTATATTGCGATTTATATTTTCTTATAACATACTAGTTGAAGCCTGGCGCATCCGCCACGACATCAGGAAAAAAAACTTTTTCTTTTTTTTAATTAAATGAAAAAACAAAAAACCGGCGGCGGCAGTTTTTAGAAGAGCTAATTAGCTATCTTTTAGTAAAAAAAGCAACTTTCTAGAGCAAGTCGTTACTTCACTAGAGACGACACAGATAAACATTAGCATTTTATATATGTAGATAAGTTATTTACTTTCATTAAAAACTTTTTATACTAATTATAGTCTTTTATCGATATAGAATATATATTCATGTTTTTATTGGCACTAGATTATAATTACTTTTAAAAATACCACACTTTAATCAACTTGGCAACAAGGTTGCCCCGATCGCAAAAAGTAAAGTTTATATAATATCTCATTACCTTAAGTAGGTACTCAACATAATATATTAATATTAACTATATATGACTCTAAAAAAAAGATAAATATACAAGGTGGAATCTGTTTAACTAAAAAAATGTTGGTAAATAAAAAAAAATAAAAAAATAAAAAAAAATAAAAAAAAATTAAATAAAAAAATAAATAAATAAAAATAAAAAAATTTAAAATAAAACTAATATTGTAAAGAATACTAGTAACATAAGAAATAGCAACAGTACAAAGATTCGGTGCATTTTTTTGGCGAAAAAAAATCCATGGACATGTTGGAGAAACGTTTTACGAAATATTTATTTGAAATTTTTCTGATATTTTTTTTTGAAGGCAAAATAAAGAAAATGAAAGACGCCTAATAGTTGAGCTACCCTATATAATTGCGATATCCACTCTAATAAGTATCATGTATTTCGTACAACAGAATTTGTATTATCTGCAGATCTGTTGGTTGTTAATAAAATACAGCAGGCTTACTATCAGTTATTATTAAAAATCCTTATATGATATGATGTTAGATACAATAACTAATGTAAAAAAGGATGATCTATATATTAATAATTGTGTCACATATTGAACATTTTCCTTACAGATTTTTTTTTAAACGAATGTAATGTAACCTTGGTCTTAATCGTATGAGCTCTGTAAATTTTTATCTTGCAATAGAAGTAAAACAAAATTAAGACACTCGATACCCTTCACAATCCTGTTATTTAACATCATTTTAAAATATTTTTATATAAAGTTACTAACTTCTTCTTCTAACATCTATTTTATTTACAAATCGTCTTAGAGTGTAATAATTGTATAATAAAAATATTTTTTTTATTAATATGTATAAGTTATTGTCGTCAATTATTCTTGATAAAAATAGAATAAAAAATCAATATTCCTTCCATGATTCTTTCTACAACTTGACCAGCCCATTCTAGGAAAATCCCGCTATACATATAATTTGATAGAACAGGTTTCAAGACCTTTATTTTTATCTGTATAGGACTGAGTATATACCAGGTGTTACAACAATAGTAAAAATATACCACCAAGAATAAACATATGGAGCTAAGAGGGTTATTTTTTTATATAAAATCTTTTTAGAATAGTAAGTAGGATTTGGTGTTTTTAGATTGTAGATTAAATATATCTTTTGTGTCCCCCTTCCTGGAGTTATAACTCATCATGCAGTCTCTATTTTCCCTACAAAATCTGCATTTGCGATTGTTTATTAGCTTCAATGAGGTGTTCCCTTAATTATAAAATAGGTAAAATACACGAAATTTTGTGATTTTTCACAAGATTCGTAATTTTTTCTGAAGTTTAAGGATTATGAAGGTTTTTTTAAGAGTCCATTTGCCTCAATAGTCCGAAAAAGTAGCAAAATAAGCGTTCGGCATTTAACGTTTTATGTTAAACTGGCTAGATATTTTTACACAAATGAAGAAGGAAATTAAAGATAAATGATTATACTATATCCGTATTGTAGCACATTTTTAGACAACTTCTTTTTTTTAAGATTTTGATGGACAAACATCAACAAAATATACCTTATGCTCTTGGTCTCCACTCTATAAGTCTTTTGGTCCATCTCCCGTCTGCCATTCTAGCAATGTGTCCAGCCCAAAGACATTATAAATATAGACCGAATATCTCATTCATAAATACTCGTTGGTAGTGTATCAAACATTCCAATGTGTCAGACAAGGACAGAAGAGACAGAGAAGTCTAAAATTTCCGACCCCGGCAACTAGGCCCATTTGGATTGTTCTCATGGCCAGTGGCGTATCGTTTTTTGGAACGAATTTAATTAGTAAAGTAAAAGTAAAGTTATTAGTAAAATTTTTACTCCATATTAATATACTACATTAACACTTTTTCGTCAGATGAGTTTTGTTATAAGGTCTAATATAATAATATAATTAATATCCCACATATACTTATGTTGAAACGTTAGTAGGTAGTTTTCGAAAATCGCTCCAACGTAGATTTTCAATTTAAACTTTCAGTTAATTCTATATAAACTTTCAGTTACTTTTGAATATTTACAGAGTGACTCAGGCTTCCGAAACAGTTCTATATTAGGTTTGTGGTTGGTGACTTTTCTTTCAATTTTTTTTTCAGATAATGGAGGCAATAGTAAAGCACATTTTAGACATTTTTGTAAACATAGGTGACCGGAACATATTTTCAAACTAAAGTTGTAGATTTGCCATTAAATTTCCATTCCAGAAATACCTAGGGTTGCCACCTGTCCTTTTTTGAAAAGGACAGTCTTTTTTTAGAATAACTTATATTTTTGACTTTTTTTGACTTAAAAAGTCATTTTTATTTACGTATTTTCCCTGAGAAAATTACCAATAGCAAACAGAAATATTATTTTCATCCAAATTTAATTAGAGATGTTATAAAACTTATAAATAATTTTTTCTTGTTTAGAATAGGCAACATTATTTAGAACTTCCCGTTTAATCTCAAATGATAGTTTAGGTTTTAGTTTTACCTTTTTTGATTTTAAAAAGAAATTTTCAAAATTAGTAATTAGTAACGATTTAGTTAGTTCGCAATCGATAGCTTCCTGAGAAGTACTCTGTGAAACCTACTCCTTCAAAAGTTATTCACGATTAAAATTAGCCACTCGGTAAATTCCTGAAGTTTTCAACTTTTTTGACTATGTCATGGCTGCGAAAGAACAAGATCGAGAGAAAAAAATAATTGCAAAATGTGGCAAACTGAGCAGTTTGTTTTTAGTTGAAAACAGATTGTCGAGTAAACGTGTGTTGTGGACGCTCGGCCTTAGCAAACTTTTGAACCGCACCTCGTAAGAATTCATCGATTATCTAAACTTTGGCCAGCGCAAATATACACGTTGGAATCCACGTCTGACGTCCTCGGTTCCCTTTCAGCCGTTTAACAGCTGATTTTGCTCGCGAAGCCAGTCATTGGCCCGCTTTGGAGCAAGAACAACACGCGCGAGGTCTATCTCGACTTTACCGGATACTCTCGTTGAAAGAATCCACTTTGTTCACTCAGATAAGTGTCGAGAAAGAAAGAAAAAACATGGATTACACTGGAAAATGCCCGAAGAGAGTCAATCCCTCTCTAAACGCCAATCCGCTGTCAGAACTGATCTTTGCGTAAGTCATTTTGACGTTTCTTTTTTAAATCAATTTGAATTAGGTGTCAAAAAGTTTTTTTTATTTAGTGAAAAAAAAATATACAAGATTTTTGATGTTTTTTTTTGACATGCTTTAATTATTTTCTTTCCCAATAAAAGAAATATTTACTGTATCTGTACGGTATTAGTAGGGGACATACTGTATATTAACATTGGTGTATGTTTCTATGTTTTATCGCATTTTGTTATACAGGGTGCTTCAAAAAACATCACGTAAAAATATGATTTATTTTCCATATCAACATAGGTCCGATTTTGCTTTCTTTCGTAGCTACAGGGTGTTACACCTAATTTATTATTAAATATTATTACTATTAGTTATTGTTGCTATTAGTCCAACCTACAGAAATTTTAAATAAAAAAATAATGGTATTTAAGATAATTACAAAAAAACTAATTTTAAAAAGTTTTAACATCCTCTAACTCTAAAACTATGCATTTCTATACCCATGTTTATTGGAACTTTATTTCATATTTTTTGACGAGGAATCAATGAGTACATATTTAAAACTTTAGGCAAGTTAATGATATTAAATTTTTTAAAGGCTGCTATTAGACTTGGATCAAGGCAAATTAATAAAATTGCGTTAAATCTCATCAAGGAGACCAAAATCGACAAAATATCAAGAGACAAAATATCATATTTTTTATTATAATATAATTTACACATTTTTCTAATTTTTATCTGTAGAAACAACAGCAGAATATTTTTTGACACCCTGTATAGAGAATATTAGTTATTTAAAAAAATAAATTGTATTAGATAATTTTGGAAATTTCCCTGCAATATGTTCTTAATATGGCGCAATACCTTTTACAAGAATATTGACCCTAATTTTTGAATTATTTTACAAAATTCTTATTAACAATGAATGCAATAAGTATTGTTAATATTTAAATAGGATTTAAATAAGTTCAGTTTTCAAGGATCAAGAAGAATGTTTAGAAAGGACTAGAGATATAATAGTTATTTTAATTATTATTTATTTGTTTATAAACCATGTTCAAGTAGAATAATAGGGGGAAATTATAGGGGGTATAAGATATCTGGAGAATACAATGGTTTTTAATATTTATTTCAAAATTTTCCAACATTGAAATTTCTATTTTTAATTTTGGAAAAATTAGTTGATAAAATTGTTCAAATAAAATTAATTTAACTTTCTACAACATGATATTAAGTTATTTAACGATGAAATTAGTATATTTCAGTTTTTAATCTGTTAAAAAAGATTAAAAAAACTAAATCATACCTAAGTAATAATCTTTATAGATTTTTTATCAGATCACTAAGATTATCTTTATCAAAATGTTCTGAAACAGTTTTAAATACTTACTTATTGATTTTATTTTTAGTGAGCTGTATTTATGGCTGAATACATAATATAAAATATAAATAATAAATAAGGCAAAAGGATTGTATAGCTCATTAATTTTAAAAACAAAGTGTGATAAACTTGATGAATTCTTAACAATGGCAGTTGTATGTAAATTTTATTCATACAGTCAGCAACAAGAACATTATCCTTTGGAGATTTACAGAGAATTATTTACATTACATTATTCGCGATTCCTCGAGAAGATATACAGGGTGACCTAATATTCCGTGGACACAGACTACCAGGTATTTTTTGAATCAAAATAAGTTGGTTCAAAAATAATAAAATAAAATAAACACATTTTTAATATATTATGTCCACGGTATATTGGGACATCCAGTATACTTTGTTTCGAATTTAAACATTTAAAAGTTCAGAATTTTGAAAATGAAATTTGATTTAATTTTATTTGATTCAATTTTGCATATATCACCATGGACCAGACGGTATACAAAAAAAAACCGGTTGATATTCTATAATCTACAGAACTTTGACCTCATCAGGCCTGTCATTATATTCTCCAAGGTTTCTCAATCAAGCACATGTCTGCCAACAACACAATCGGTGGATAATTATATACAATACTGCACTATTTCATAACCATTCACAGAATTCATTATTGTATCGCTTCAAGCGATTAGAATTTTTCCGCAAATGGTTACAAGGAAATTACTATTTCCTTTCCCGAGAAAAAACAACACAGGGTCATAAATAGAGACTGTTAAACCATCGTTCACCGTGACGTCATCATTATTTGTCAAATATGAGTTTCAGGGTGTATCTGAGATTTGGCGTTTATTCATCTTTTCTTGAAAACTTCATCAGTTATGATCCTTTTAGTTCCAATCCTTTGGACTGTTGAAATTCCTATTTCTAAAGCATTAGCAACTCGCTATATGATTCATTTTGGTTAAACCTTTGAGGCAGTTTTGCAATAAAAAAATTGAATTTTGCTTCACAGCAACAATCAAATTTTCATTTTGACATTGATCGATGTCCGTCAATAAAATTATAACCCCAAATCAAATGACAATGACAATTACTGAAAAAAATATGCAGTAAATTTACGAAATGCCGTAATGACGTCACCAATCTCTTTCGTCCGGTTGGCAAGTGATTGAGAGAGCTCGACAATATATGACGTCACGTTAAACGATGGCTGAACATTCTATACTTACTATATGAGTAAAATCAGAGCTGGACTTAGATATTTTTTATTTGAGGTATACAGGGTGTACCTTAACTAAGTGCTAGTGTTTTTAGGAGGCCGTAGTAAGATTTGGACAAAATAAAAAAATATTATTTTAGTAAAGGACGTCTAAAGATTGACCTCGTCAAAATTGTCATCGATTGTCATTCCCCAGCCTTCTTTGACGCCGTTTTTTTTTCGATCATACGGTACTATTTTTCACGATTGCATTTTTTTAATATTTTACGCATAAATTAAATAATGCACTTATTGTTTAGTAGGTACTTATATTACTTTGTCTCTAATTACATACGATATGGAAAAGTACTTGTCAAGCGATAACAACCTTTTTTTCTGATGAAATTTTGAACTACCTTTAACAGCGGATTTTTTTATCTAAATTCCCTATATAGAATATGTACTAAGATAAAATATCAACAATTACTTCTCATATACATTTATTTGATGTCCATACGATCTTGGTTTTAATAAGAATTCATAATTCAACTTTAAAAAAAAATATTTATTGCAAAACAGTATAATAAATTGCATTTTTAAGCTGCATCTATATATAACATTTTACCTGTTCAGTCTTACTAAAGAACTACTAAAGTTCTACAATTTCCTACAAAAAACATCTAGTGTGTCTAAAAAGTTATATTAAATAATTACCAGCTTTAAACGGTAATGACTTGTTTAATTTAAATGGGACACCTTGTATATTCTACGTGAACCAGATGCATAATTTGACGTTGTTATACGTAACATACTTATACGGCAAAACGTAAAGTAAAACGTTACGTGTGGAGTGGACTTAAGAGTGTACAAAATCTTGCCACTCATTAAAAACGATGTCATGATATGCATAAACGCCTGAAACGATGCATTGTCTGTAATATCCCGTGGCAATATTAAATCACATAAATATTTTTCTGCTAAATAGTCCTCATTTTTTTTAAACGACCATAACCCATAAGTAATCGATTCTAGGGACTTTCATTTTTATTATTACTGCTAATTAAAACAAACCAATCAATTTTAATTGCCTTCAATACATTTGTTTGTTTGTTCACGACAATTTTCACGAAGCTTTTTCTCATGAACCAGAATAAACAGTAAAGGAAACTGTAAAATAATTCGATATGGTTTTCGTTGAGTCTGGGTAAGCATAAATCAGATATTTGCATTTTTCGAGCCACAAGGCCACCGAATCACACCGAATGTTTAAAATTATCGACCGTTCCTTGTTGGAAATCTTCCACGGAAGTACCTACAGGGTGTCCCATTTTTGTGTGTTTTATGCGATTTCTCGTTTATGAATGGAAATACAAAGATGCGGTTTTCACATCACTATGATACTTTTTTATGAAATTAAAGATGCTACACGCAGATTTTTTGTCCTAGCCTTCTTAGTGCCTGATATACTACATTTTTTGACTCCCCTCGTATCTCGGTAATACTTTAGTAATATTATGAAAAAAGTGAACACCGAGCAGTGTTGCCAGAATTTAAAGATTTTCTTCAATAAGAAGGATTTTACTGTCAAATTTCGTCGATTGAAGAGTCTGAAGGGTTTTTATCCAAGAAGAAGACAATATGAACGTTTCTATGGTAGTTTTGCACAAAAAAAAATTGTTAAAATATGTAGTAGGCATAGAGTAGGAGTATTTATTGTTTTTCCAACATATATTTTTTCACTTTAACGGTGTTTAATTAAGGATGCCTTAGTTTAGAGCAATGTTGGCAATGTTGCTGTCAAAAAATTCGAAGGACTTTAAAATAAATAAATAAATAAATGCCTTTATTAAAATAAACAAACAAAGTAAACAAACAAGGTACACAAACAAACAAACAAAAGATAATACAAAACATTATACAAATAATATTGTCAGTCTTATTGTTTAAAATAAACATTTATAAATGTTTACAATGTCCAAGAATAAAAAAATAAAATAAAATAAAATAAAAGAATAAAAAAAAAATAAAATAAATAAAATAAAAAGAAAATAAAATAAAAACAGTAACATTTAACAAAAAATTAATTGATGCATTTTTAACTTTTAACGCGTCTTATTACACACATACTATAACTTAAAACTAAAATTCTTGATGTTGAAAACAAGCAATTATTGTAAGCAATGAATTTTTTGAAACATACTTTATAATATTGCTGTCGAGTATCTATCACAGCATTTTTGATCGTGTTATTTTTTTTAATAAAAAGTTTATTTAAATACATCACTGTCCAAAAATTACCAGAAATAAATTTTAAAAATTTTCTCCTAATTAAAAAATAGGTAAAATAATGGAAAGTTGGTGATTTTTCACAAGACCTGGATTTTTTTGTCAAGTTGAAGGAATATGAAGGTTTTTTTAAGGCTCTCTTGAAGAAATTCGCTGGAAAATTTCTGGCAACACTGACACAGAGTCCCATAGAGTTTTCAAACTAGAATTCAGAGGCGTTACTATTTTTTTTTGCTAGGAAGTATCTCTATTTTATTATTTTTTTATTTTATTTACCTTGTTATAGCCCTCCAAATTCCTAAAATACAGGGCGGATTTTAAAATGTCGCCTGTATCTTATAACTTTTATTTCTCCTCGTAAAAGAAACACCCTGTAAAACACACAAAAATGGAACACCCAGCCTAAAAGTTAAATCTCTCTAAAACTGACGTCATATTTTCTTCTTTTATTTCAGATATATGTTTCCAATTTTCAAAAAAACCTACAAGGAAAAACTGACAGAAGACGACCTGTTCTCTCCATTGCCCTCGCATGATTCCGCCATCATTGGAGAGAAATTGGAGAAAGCATGGAAGGAGGAACACAAGAAACACAAAAAGTTTGCCTTACATTTGGCCTTACTCCGTGTATTCGGAATACGATTCTTTATCCTAGGAATTATAGTATTAGTTAATGAAATAATGCTAGTGTAAGTACCAAAATACTAGTTAACTTAAGAATCCATTTCAAAAGTAGCAAAATAAGCGTTCGGCATTTAACGTTTTATGTAAAATTGGCTAGGTATTTTTTACACAAATCAAGGAGGAAATTAGAGATAAAGGATTATACTATATCCGCATTGTAGCACATTTTTAGACATCTTTATTTTTAAGATTTTGATGGTCAAGCATCAACAAAATATTCCTTATGTTTTGTCTAAATTTTCTCGAAAATAAAGACATAATTTAAAATTCCGTTACAGTAAGAAAATAGATTGAAGTTTTGTGATTACAGTGATATATAATTTATATGGTTTTGTAAAAAATTGCTCGCTATTTTACGGCAAATCTTGAAGCTCTGTAAACCTTAATCAAGCCTTAAAAAAAAGCACGTGTGTTTTGAATTTTGGGTGTGGCTTAACACAGGATCGAACTAAGCCCTAGGCAGATTTTTGAAATATAATATATATTTCCTTCGGCCACACACCCCATGAGTTATAACTCATCATACAGTCTCCGGGCTTTGATAAAAGCCAGTATCTGAGACAATTTTACAGATTCCCATTCACTGTTATTTGCCTATATGTATTTTCTTTCAAAGAAAAATATTTTCAATAACTCTTAATTTACATCGACTCACTCAAGCGACTGTCAAGCAAAATCTATGCATCTAAAATGCCTTAAATCTTAGTTTAGGCGTCTTTTTCTTGAGTCGTACATACAATCTATCCAGATTTTGTTGTATGGTATTCATGATGAAATCAGAATACTTTTACATCATCATTTCGTTTTTAGGACTGTGATACCCATTTCCATAGGTAAGCTAGTGAAGTATTTTGAAACAGGTCAAACGATTATATCAGAAAGCGAAGCTTACTTTTATTGCGGTGCCATAATTCTGTGCCTGGTAGCTGATAATATAATTGCGCATCCGAAAATGATGGGCCTGCAGCATCTGTCAATGAAAATGCGAGTAGCATGTGGATCTCTTATATACAGGTAATTTTTTTCATTGTAATACAGACTGTGTAGTAATATTACGTATAGACATAGAACTACTACGTATGTTACACACCCTGTATATTTCATCGATTGATGTTACAGATCGTTATCTCTAAAAATTGTTTTTCTATAGGTGTGTGTTTCTCAAAAGTGGCTCACCCCTATAACTTTCTTATTTCTTCAGAAAAAAAAACGAGATTCAGTACGTTAGTATATGACATAAGTCAGGATTGATTGGCGTATTGAATTGTTTTCGGTCACTTCCTGTTTCACCGGAAATGACTACAACTTTTGATTTTTAAATGACACCCTCGGTATTTTTTTACTTTATTTGATAGAAAATGACTCTGAATAGAATGACATATCATGTGGATTATAGCGAAAATGTCAAAAGTTGACATGTCATATGCCATTCTATACAGAGTGCCATTTTCTATCGAATAAAGGAAAAAAAATACTGAGGGTTCCATTTAAAAATCAAAATTTGTAGTCATTTCCGGTGACCCAGGAAGTGACTGAAAAAATAAAAAAGTTATAGAGGTGAGTCACTTTTGAGAGACACCCAGTATACCATGCAGCTACAAAAAATGCAATATTTCGTTTATAATATCAATAATTGTATAATTTTGAGATCATAATTATTCTTAATTGCTTTTTTATTAACTATTTTAATATTACACTTAATATTGAAAATAGAAGTTTAATATACAGAGTGAGACTGAAATAAGCGCACATCTCGATAAAAGATATATCTTTAATGTTTTTTGTCCAAAAAAGTCCAAAATAACAGTTCTTTTACTTTTAAAATTTAAGAAAAAAAATCTGTAATTTTTGAAAACTACTGGATTTTGTCTGTGTCTTTATTTCTCTAAATGTAATCTACAAAATGATTAAAAAAATACAACATTTAAAAGAAAAAATCGCAAAAACAACCTCACAGACATTTATAGATCCTAGATATGTCCTAGAATACATCCTATATAGTTCTTAGGTTACCGAAATGTGCCACCTCTAAAAATATGTGCACTTATTTAAGACACACCCTGTATATTTTTTTAAATCAAGACGTTTTCTTCAACGCCTCGTATTACACAGAAGAGTGAATGCGTAAATTTACTGGAATAAGTAAATTTTCCAGTTTACTGACTTCGAGTATTACTTATCTTCTAAGTCAGGAAAAACATTATTATATATTTTTATGATATTTATTTAAATATTATAGATTTTTATTAAGTAAAATATTAAAAAATTCAGATTTTTCAATAGTTAAACTGTCAGATTGAATCAGATGCCGATTTGATAAATGATAAAAAATGTCCCTTTGCGATAAAATGATTTATCTTTATCTTTATTATATACCGTGGGATTAAAATTTGCTAAATCGTCTGAAATATTTCTCTTTATTTATTTAAAACTATTTCCTGGTGAAATGTTCATAAATTATCTCTTATTTAACATTGCGTAATGTTTGAAACATTTAAATTATTCTTTATTGATATGCATTATTTCGACAATTAATTTCCAAGGTCTCATTTAGTTTTAATAACTATGCTAGTTAAAACACCATTAACTGAATAGCATTCGATTAAAATTATAGAAGTTATTTACATTTTCATTCATTGATCGGTGAAAACGCTTGCACAAAATTGTTTAGATAAGATTATATTATGAGGAATTGACAAAAACTATTTTTTAACATATGCATAGACGGTGATGAACAGTATGAGCACTCTTGATTGTATACAGAAGATTTTCCTGATAAAGTAATATATTTTTTTTTGGTATCTCAGATGTTTACTCAGGTGTGATAACCAGAATACCATAATACCAGATGATGTGTTAATATCTAATAATTAAGACATTAATAACAGTGAACAAGAAACGATGATTCAGTGAAGTCATCGTAGGCTTTGGAAAAAAGTTGCTTTTGACGTAATAGTATAAACGTCAAATTGTTATTAGATCAACATTTTGATTGCCTTAGCAGCGTTTTTTATCTTTTAATTGCTTTCTCAAAATGCCTTTATTATTTGAAGTTGTTGGCAACTTTTTTCCAAAGCCTACCATGACTTCACTGAATCATCGTTTCTTGTTCACTGTTATTAATATCTTAATTATTAGATATTAATACCTCTAGTATTCTGGAATTTCGTCGATTTTAATTTTAATTTACATAAACTAACTGTTTCTATCTTATTTTTTTTTGTTAGAATGGGCATAATCAAGAGGGCTACTGATACCGTGTTGTAAAAATAAGTTAATTAAGGGCTTATTTTTTGGTATTTATTATAATTGTGCTAATATCTTCGGTTTGACAGAAGATATCAAGATGCGGTTTTCGCCGACTTTTTAAGCTTTTACTACTCTTCACTATCAGCTAAAATTACATGTACTATCGCATTTAATTTTTTTGAAAAAACGCGCAATGTTTGTTAAATTGTAAGACAACGCCCCCTAGCGTCTACGTTCAAAATCTTATTATTATTGTTTATACGGTATAATATAGAGTAAGAAAATCTCTTTTAAACGAGCCATCGCTTGTTTGATTCCGATCATCCAGTCCAGAGTTATTAATATTCAAATAAAAACAGATCTAACCTTCCCCCACCACTTTATTTTGATAGATAGGGGAAAATGGCTCTAACAAAAAATATTCAAAATTTACTGAAGATTATGAAGCTATTACTTATAGTGCACCTTATCTACGCAAAATTATGTAAAAACTCCATTTTCTTATTTTTTGTTGCAGTTGCGTCCCCTAGCGGTCGTTCTACAAACTTGAAAATAATTTCCAGCAATTTCCCATAGCCTCTTTAGTTATACATATTTTTTCCGCAGCCCCTACGGCTAATACTTTCCGAGATACAGCCGAGAGCTATTCTTAGTGGGACACCCTGTACATTACTTTATTTTTTGCTAAATTCATTTTAAGACCTACTGTTTTGCTGGCTGTATTTAGTTATCTTTGTAAAAACTAAAATACTACTATATACTCAAGAGAAATACTACTATATACTTCAAAGAGTACTACAATAGTACTCTTTGAAAAAATAAAATAAATTTGATCATTTTCTATTTGGCAAAATACAGGGTGAAGTCACATTATTTTCTAGACATCCTCTCTATCCTGTTTGGTTATTATGTTACAGAAAAACATTGAGGTTGAGTCGAACAGCTTTGGGCAAGACCACCATAGGCCAGATGGTGAACTTACTCTCCAATGACTTAGGAAGGTTCGACCAAGGCTTCCAAATGGCCCACATTGCTTGGGTGGGCCCTATAGAAGTGGCCGTTGGAACATGGCTACTGTATAGAGAGATAGGAGTGGCATCCCTGTTCGGTGTTGCCTTTTTACTGTCATTCGTGCCTATACAAGGTAAATTTAGACATATTATGGTGTAACATGCATGAATACCCTAATCCTGTATTTTAGTTTCTATAACAGTTGTAATATTTCAGCTTATTTAGCCAAAAAAACCTCGGTTTTGAGGTTGAAAACAGCAATTCGAACTGATGAAAGAGTGAGACTTATGAACGAAGTCATATCAGGAATTCAAGTGATCAAAATGTACTGTTGGGAGAAACCGTTTGCTAAATTAGTGTCTTTTGCGCGAAGGTACTGTATTTTTCTTTGAATTCTTTACCAAAAGATCCTAACATAATTGATTTTTACAGAAAAGAAATGCAGGCAATCAAAGGAAGGGCTTACATCTTCGGTCTGATTTATTCCTTCGAAGTCTTCATTGCCCGAACTTCAATTTTCATCAGCATCTTAGGCTTTGTCTTGTTGGGAAACGTAATAAATGCAGAAAAAGTCTTCGCCATCACAGCAATCTACAACGTCCTCAGACCATTTATAACCATCCTTTTCTCGATTAGCATCTCCAGCATTGCTGAAACCAACATCTCCATTCACAGAGTTCAGAAATTCCTCAGTTATGAAGAAATAGAACCAGCGGAAGAAAAAGAACACCTTTCTCTAAGCATAGACAAGGAAAAACCAGTTAAAAAAGCTTTAACCAATGGATCTAACGGATCTCTGAGAGATAAACCTGAGTTAAATGGATATGGTAAAGGTGTTCAAGCTAGAGCAAAGTTAACACTACATAACGTTAGTGCCAAATGGTCTGAGGATTCTTCCGATGAAACTTTGCACAATATCAGCTTAAATGTTAATCCTGGACAGTTACTGGCCATTATAGGTCCAGTAGGAAGTGGAAAAAGTAGTCTTATCAATGTGATACTAGGTGAATTGTCTATAAGAAACGGTTATATGGAACTAAACGGAAAAATATCGTTTGCTTCTCAGGAACCTTGGTTATTTTATGGTAAAATCCTTACAGGGTGATTAGTTTCGTTGATGTAACGTTGATTTTTGTAGGAAATGTCAGGCAAAACATTCTATTTGGTGAGGAGTTCGACGAAGAACGATACGAACAAGTCGTTCAGGTTTGTGCCCTTAAATCTGACTTTAACTTGTTACCCTACGGTGACAAAACCCTTGTTGGTGAACGTGGTAAAGCCCTAAGTGGTGGTCAGAAAGCCAGAGTCAACTTAGCCCGATGTATCTACAAAAAAGCAGATGTTTACTTGCTGGATGACCCTCTTTCAGCTGTTGATGCAAACGTTGGCAAGCATCTTTTCGAGAGCTGTATCAGAGACTATCTGAGGGACAAAATTCGGATTCTGGTCACTCACCAGCTTCAATATTTGCAAGGCGCTCAGAAAATTATCATCATGAACGACGGACAGATTCAGATGGAAGGAAACTACAAAGAGTTGCAAAGTAGTGGTTTGAACTTTAGGTAAATACCATTTAAACCTGTAACTTAAAATTTAGTTATACTGTTTTTAGTAAACTACTGGAAGAATATACTGAAGAGGAAGAAGAAAAACGGAAAGCCATCTCTAGACAAAACTCAGAATTGAAGATGATGGAATTGGATGAATCAGATGAAGAAGAAGAACCAGAAATCTCAAAAGAAAGTCAAGGCAGTGGAAAAATCTCTGGAAAAGTCTACAAGGACTATTTTAAAGCAGGTGGAAATATGTGTAGCATCTTTATCCTGGTTTTGGGGTTCGTTTTGTGCCAGGCTGCAGCCAATGGGAGCGAATACTACGTCACTTACTGGTAAATCCATACAATTATTTTCGAAATATTTGGAGAACTTAAAAACAACAATTTTTAGGGTGAACTTAGAACAAGTATACGCTGATCGAGTTCAAGCAAACCAAAGTACGGAAGATGTAGAAATAAACAGGGAAGAAATCATTTATATTTACTCAGGATTGATAGTTTCCACCATCATTATTGCTATAGCAAAAAGCGTGTATTACTTGGTATTCTTTACTGTAGCTTCGAGGAATTTACATGACTTCATTTTTACTAGAATTGTCAAAGCTAAAATGAAGTTCTACAATACCAATCCTACGGGAAGGATACTAAACAGGTTTTCCAAGGATATGGGGTTGATTGATGAGTATATTCCTTCAGTTCTGCTTGATCTTATTGAAGTAAGTTAAATTTAGAAGCTTTGTTTTTTCAGAAAAATTTGCGGAAAAATTTTGTGTTTATTAATAAAACTCAGTCCTTACCAATGACTTTTAATGAAAAATAATCCATATAGCAACAAAAAAAAATAATCAGTTCCCAAAATAAACAAAATGGTATTTTTTTGTTTTTTTAAAACGAAATTAAGATTTAAATTTTGAATGCCCAAAAAGCAAAAACAAAAAGAAAATTGATAATTTTAATATTCCTTGTTGCCACCCCTAGCACTTATGCAAAGTTGTCTTGGGGTATGTTTTCCTATTCTGCTAATGCTGCATCAATAAGATGTGCAAGATTTCCTGGATGGTTTCGACGAGCTCTAACCCTTCTTTTGAGCTAGTCTCACAAGTTTTCGATAGGGTTTAGATCTGGTGAACATGCGGGCCAGTTCAAAACTATGACACCTTCCATTTCAAGACATTCTCTTGTCACTCTGCTGGTACGGGGAGGTGCACTATCGTACAAGAAGTTAAAATTATACCCAATTGCAGCTCTCCAAAAACTAACGATTGGTTCTAGCACCAAATCAATCAATACCTCCGCATATCATTACAGTTCCTTCTTTATATCTTGTACAGATATGGAAGACTGAAGTCTCGCTCGTCTTCCTGGAGCTCTGAGAACCCGAATTCGATGATCTTAGGCCAATTTTGTCAATTCCGAACAAAGAACATTTTGTCAATTCTTAGTTGTCCAGTTTTGATGTTGAAGGCATCAATTTAGCAGGTCAATTTTATTTTGTCGAAATAACTGTGGGATCCGTAACTCTCTCCTACTGTAAAACCATCGAGCACGAAGCCTTTTAATTATGGTTTCAACTGAAACGTTCACACCTGTAGCTGCCAGAAGTTGTCTTTGTAGCTCTGGACGAGAAACATTGGGATTTATTCTAGCAATTTGGCACACAAGGCAGTTTTGTTGTTCAGTTGTGACACTTTGACGACTTTGCCTGGGCCTGTCCTTGTGTGTTCCTAATTCCAAGTACCTTGCATATGTTACAACACCCTGGGTAAGAGTGATTCCATAAGTTTGGTTGTGTGTATTTGACAGGCATCAAAAGACTGTTACGCAAAGTGTTTTCATCCCTGCCTAACTCCTGTATTTGTTAGGAAGGGATCGCTCAGTGATGCATTTCCTCATTCCATATTTTAATAAAATAACTTATCTATTTCAGATAGCTTTGCTTATGTTCGGTACCATCGTACTTACAGTTATAGTGGAACCATACCTGATTCTACCAGCCGTGGCTATATGCATACTGTTCTACATGTTCAGGAGTGTTTATATCAAAACAAGTAGAAACGTCAAACGATTAGAGTCAATAAGTAAGTAAACCTTTTTCTTGATATAGTACTACTCCATGAAAACGCAGAAGTTTTTATAAAAAAATAATAAAGTGTTATTACTATGGTAATCGCAAAACAAATTCCGATGCACGGCATCAACTTTGAGCGACAAGCGATGGCGACAGCGCTGCCAGATTGTGATGGATTTATAAGATGAATCTTAATTTAAAAGTGACAAACAATATATTTCTTATATTCTTTTTATAAAGATTTTTACCTTTTATTTTTAATTTAATAACTGATATTTTAGTAATTAATTGATTTATTTGTTTTATAGCTTATTTTACTTATTAAATATTGGCAAAAACTAGTCCAATATGAAGATTATTTTAAGCGTTATTTATTTATTTATTGATAACAACAAAATAGGCAAAAAAACGAGAATTACTCACAAAGATTCAACAACAACACTGTATTATACAAAATAAAGACTGACATTAGGACAATTATTGTCAAATAATAACCGACAACCTTGCTGAAAACGGCGCAATGTGACTAACCTAGCGATAATAAAATTTGGTTTAAACTAATTTTTGCAGCTTTAATCTAAATAAAATATCTGTTACAATCATTTGCTCTATAAAGTAAAATGAATAGCTGCTCGTTATCTTAAATTATACAACAAACTTAAACATTTTTGCTAAAATTTCATTTAGTCAGGTTTATAGACTTTAATGTCAATGCCGATATGCCTGATGACGTGCATCGGAAAATGTTTTGCCATTACTATAGCTTGGTATTATTGTAGCTCTACTTTTAAACATCCTCCTGTATATTTCAAAACTTTCTTTCTGTCGTTTAAAAAATAAATAAATAAAAAATGGACGTCAAATCTAAATACGTTTATATTTTAATATACAGGGTGTTCTATTTAGTATCACGAAAATCAGAAAAAATAAATAATAGTAATATTAACGATTTCGTTTATTTTTTTCAGCAAAAAGTCCTATTTTCAGCCAGATGACAGCCTCAGTGGAAGGCTTAAGTACCATAAGAGCCTTCTCAGCACAAACTTTGCTCATCAATGAGTTCGATGAGCTGCAAAATAGACACAGCGCAGCCTGGTTCTTGTTCATTGCTTCGAGCAGATGTTTCGCATTTTGGCTGGACACAATAGCAGTAACTTGCATAGGGGTGGCTACATTTACTCTGATCTACTTCAATAAAGGTTAGTTCTATCATATCAACTTGCATGATTGATCATATACAGGGTTCGGCAAAAATACTAAGTCGGGTATCTGTATAGCTGTTAGAATAAAAAACTTGTGAATTTTTTTTAAGTGCAAACTTAAATTATGTCCTAGGATGTATTTCAGGAAAATATTTTAACTTCTATAGGGTGGCTCAAAAATGTATGAGTGGATCGGGGTGTTTTTTTTTAAATGGGACACCCTGTATATTATTGCATTTTTGACTCTCCTTTCAAGATGTGAGTAAATATATTTTGATAGTTTCAAAGATATAAATAAATATATAAAAAAAATATATTTTTTCAGCTTTTCTTAAGAAAAATATTAAAAATACAGGAACTGTCTTGAAATCAAAAATATATCAGGTATTTACTTTAGATGGTCTGTACTTACTTTGCTATAAATATGGTAATCGTAAATCATACAGGATGTTAAAAATTCTACGCCAAACTTTCTAAAATATAAAATAATTTTTCGTCGTTTCTTTAAATGGAACACCCAGTATATTATTTTTTCAATAGATGGAGAATTAGAAAATTAACATTTTTTGTATTTAGAGTATTTAAAAATTTTTAACCGTTTCGCAGATATTAGCGATTTTATATTTCATATGGCATTTTCCACAGTAAATTTTTATCAAAGCCACCCATTAATTTTTCTTCCGTATTTTACCGTTGAAAGAACCATATGAAATAATACTACAAAAAATATTCATTTTTTAATTCCCCATCTATTGAAAAAATAATATACAGTGTGAGTGTTTCATTAAAAAAAAAACAAAGAAAAATTATTTTATATTTTAGAAAGTTTGGCGTAGAATTTTGAACACCCTGTATGCTTTAACTTTACGATATTTACAGCAAAGTAAGTACAGACCCTCTAAAGTAAATACCTAATATAATTTTGATTTCAGGACACTTCTTGTATTTGTAATAATTTTTCTAAAAAAGGTTGAAAAATATTTTTTATTTATTAAAATCTCCGAAATTATCGAAATATATTTACTCATATCTTAGGATTATGTAAAGTGATCTGAAAGGAAGCGAAAAATGCGATAATATACAGGGGGTTCTATTTAAAAAAATCATCCCAATCCACTCACACTTTTTTGAGCTACCCTATAGAATTTGAAATATTTTCCTGGAATACATCCTTGTACATACTTTAGGTTTACACTTAAACAAAATTCCCACGTTTTTTATTTTAGAAGCTACAGATGCCGACGCACTATTGCCCAACCCTGTAGATATTAAATTCAAAAAAAAAAAAATAAAGATAAAAAAATAAATAAAGGATAAGAAAATATTCTCATTATTATTCTAGTACTCTACGGTGGAGACATTGGTCTGATAATAACCCAATACATGGGTCTGATGGGTTCACTCCAATGGGGCATGCGTCAATGGAGTGAACTAGAGAACCAAATGACTTCAGTTGAACGGGTTTTGGAATACACCAAGCTGGAATCGGAACCAGAACGATGTTCCGAAGTGACAGTACCCGAAACATGGCCGGATCACGGCCAGGTCAAGTTCAAAGCAGTCAAACTGAGATACGACGAAAAAGACGAATATGTGTTGAAGAATTTGAACTTTTCCGTGGAGCCCAAAGAAAAAATTGGTATTGTTGGTAGAACAGGCGCTGGAAAATCATCAACTATCTCCGCATTGTTTCAATTGTATGACCTGGAAGGAAGTATCGTTATTGACAACATAGATACAACAACAATTCCTCTGGAACAAGTCAGAACAAAAATTTCGATCATACCGCAGGAGCCTGTATTGTTTTCAGGTAGGTTTGCTCAATTTAATTGATATTTATTTTATTCAATATACAGGGTGAGTCAGCGATAGAGTGAAGTCCATTATCTCATTTGTTTCGAGGTTTACAAAAAAATATTAAATATAAAAGTTATAGGGACGGTTAAGATATACATTTTAAAATTATTATAGAGTATACAGGGTGCTTCAAAAAAGTGTGGCGAATATAACATATATTTTTTTAAATGGCACACCCTATTTTTTATTTTATTTTTAGATTCTGCGTAAAACTCCATAACTTTCTTATATATAATGTTTTACACCTAAAATTAATAGTTTTTGTAATATTTAAATTTGTTTAAACAAATGTTAGATTGCAGTGAAAATTCAAGTGTCATCTTCCATAATATAGAAATACACCAAGAAATTCACGACTGCGATTTTAGTTAATTTGAGTAGGTAAAGATAATTAATTTTAACTAATACCAGCAATTGTAACTAATTATTAAGCTACTTGTTAAAGAATAAATAAACTTGTTAAGTAATAAATAGTTTGTTTTGTCATGGCAACTATGATTTTATAGGGTAATTGTATTAAAAATATGGGGTAAAAATAGAAAAAATTGGAATAAATGGCAAACTATTAAAAATAGGTATATGACATACTTAATAAAAGTTGAAGAGTTTTATAAAATCTATCAGAAAAAATGATAATATATAGGGTGTCCGGTTTAAAAAATTTGAGCTTTTTTAATTTTAAGTAGTTGAAATTCATAAATATATTTTGAACACCATGTATCATTTAACAAAAATATCTTATATATATATCTTTTTGTTCATCTTTATAAAACTCTCCTACCAAATTTTGGTACTCCAACTTCAGAAACAATGGCACCACTGACAATTTTTTACTTTATATTTAAATTTTTTTGTAAACCTCGAAACAAATGAGATAATGGACTTTACTCTATCGTTGACTCACCCTGTACATCCTAGTACATATTTTACAACAAGATTTGACCGAAGCACTATTGCCGGAGTAATGTATAATAAATATCACTTCTTTGCAGGTACAATGAGACGAAACTTAGATCCTTTCGAAGAATACAGCGACGACATCTTGTGGGACGCATTGGAACAAGTCGAACTAAAGGATGTCATTGCTGACATGCCAGCGGGTTTAAATTCAAACGTCTCTGAAGGAGGATCAAACTTCAGTGTAGGCCAGAGACAATTGGTGTGTCTGGCCAGAGCCTTGATCCGACACAACAAGATCTTGGTTATGGATGAGGCAACTGCCAACGTTGATCCCCACACTGATTTGCTGATCCAGAACACCATAAGAGAGAAGTTTGCTGATTGCACGGTGTTCACGATAGCCCACAGGTAAAGTATTAAAAAACTCCTACGATTCGTTCATGTGAACAAATTATAAACATATTTTAAACACACACATCACAGACTAAAAATGTATTTGGTATGATCTATAGATATTTTTTTGTAAATAACTTTCACATCGTCTGCATTTTATATCCATAGAAAATATACAGGGTGGTCCGAACTGTATTCCGGAAACTTCGGCAGCATATTCTGCAGATAAAAATAAGTAAAAAAGGTCGTATAAATGTATGTCTCAAAATGCTTACTTTCGGAGACACAGGGTGTAGAAGTTTCATTTTTATTTCGATTTTTTGCCAATAATTTCTGAAGTAACGTCAATATTTCGATGAAAATTGGTGTCTGGAAGTTTGGTGACACGAGTAGTTTGATTTTGATGTCAATATGACTCCTATTAGTAGAGGGCGCCACCTACATATTTTTTAGCTGTTTTGGAGAGTAATAACTTTTCTCCCGTACCTGTATAAAACTACTGAGTAAAAAAATATACATTTACGACGTTTTTTACGTAAAAAAGACCTCTTGGTAAAAATCGCTACGAGCAACAGTAGCAGGTATGAGGACACTTGAGCCAGACAGCAGACTTTTGCTGTTTTTCCTGTCTGCTTTACTGTTTTTGTTTGTTTTACTGACTGCTTCATACTTTTTGACGTCTGTTTTACTGTTTCTTCTGTTTTTATGTTTCTTTTGCTGTTTTTGCTATCTGTTTTACTGTTTTGGCTCTCTATTTATAGAGGTATAAAAGCTGACATCATAAAAGCAGTAAAACAGATAGCAACAACAGCAAAAGAAACAATAAAACAGAAGAAACAGTAAAACAGACGTCAAAAAGTATGAAGCAGCCAGTAAAAACAGTAAAACAAATAAAAACAGTAACGCAGACAGGAAAATCAGTAAAAGTTTGCTGTCTGGCAAGTGTTCCCTTACCTACTCAAAATTTCTCACGTCAAAAAACTCCCAGACACCAATTTTCATCCAAATATTGACGTTACTTCAGAAATTATTTGCAAAAAATCGAAATAAAAATGAAACTTCTACACCCTGTATCTCCGAAACTAAACATTTCTGGACATACATTGATACGAACTTTTTTACTTATTTTTATCTGCAGAATATGCTGCCGAAGTTTCCGGAATACAGTTCGGACAACCCTGTATATCTCTTCGACCTAGAACATCTCAAAAATGACAGATAATGATAGACACAATTGTCACTGTCAGAGATCCTCTTGCTGGACCAAGAACGGTACACTAATAGGATTGCTCATCCTCATAAGACGTACGTTCGCCTCTTCCCGCGCTTCAGACAGTTATGACGTCATTGTAGTCCTTGTCATGATAGTATGTATTATTGGTTGCCTGTGGTAAGCTAATAAAAATAACAGGTGAGAAATTTTGAGTTATTTTGTCGATTTTAAATGTGAAAACGGTGTTTTAAAGTTTTTAGAGCTATAGAGTTTATAAATACGTCCATTTTGTGTGGTGGATTGTTACTAAGTGCCTACGATATTGTTTATTAATTAATTAATTAAGCAAAATATGGAAGTACTCTAGAAAGAATGGCTGCAAAAGGTGATGCTGGGAACTGCTGTCCTTAAAAATGCTTTATGCGAATATTTAATATGATTTAACAGTCTATAAGGTAATTATATAAATAAATGACTAAATAATGAATGTTTTGCATACGGCAACCAATAATACACACACTATCATGACAAGGACTACAATGACGTCACAAAGCGAAGAGTTTTCGCATGCATACTTTTGGCTGAATGATCAGTCCTATTAGGTTAACTGTTCTTGTTGCGGGACAGAGTATAGAACAAAATACGATACAATAAAAATAAAATTCTCTTTAGGCTGCATACTGTAATGGACTCGGACAAAATACTGGTGATGAACGGAGGGATGATAGAAGAATACGATCATCCCTTCGTGTTGCTGCAAAAAGAAAATGGTTTCCTAAGAAGTTTGGTGGATGATACAGGGAAAAACATGTCTAAAACTCTAGAGAACATCGCGAAGGAAAATTATTTAAAGAAAACTGAATAGAAAAATTATTCAAATTATTTCTTTGTAGGCTTAGGACTTAACGAAAAAAGACTAAACCAATATACCTATCTGCCAGTGTCTGTGATCATTCTTACTTTGTAAACATATCTTTACGCAGTATTTTCACGAGATTTTTTTTTATTTTTGGTACAAATTTATTCATAATTATTTTTAGTACTCCTTAATACTTAATAAAACTGAATAAACAAGTTATATCAAAGTTACATAGTTATTTTATTTATTTACTAGCGTGTAATCATTTGTATTGTAATATTTGAGTGGCGTTTTCAGCCTCTTGGAATTTGAGATTCGAGAAACCTCTCCTTATCGAACCTCTACACCCCACAGTCAATCCGTTTGCCAAAAATCATCTTTAAACGTCAAACAGTTTAAGCAGACTTGTGATGCAGACTGTATAAATTTTTAAAAAATCTTAAAATATATAAAAAACAAAATAAAATATACGTGTTTAAGCGTTTTTTCGGAAACTTGACCGTTTTTTAAATAAAAAATATTGTAATATTTGAGGGGTGGTTTCACCCCCTTGGAACTGGAATTTCGAAAAATCCCTTCTTATCGAACCTCTACACCCTAGAATCAACATGTACGCCAAAATTGAGCTTCTTACGTTGAGTCGTTTGAGCAGGATCGTGATTAATCAGTGAGTCAGTCACTTAAGGATTTTATATATTAGTATAGATTTTAGACAAAAAGTTTTCAGATAAAAGTTGTAGATAATCACAACCCTGATGAGTTTGTGTTCTCCGATTTTTTCTAAAGCCTGTCTTTTTTGACATATTTTATGTTTTTTTTTAAATGGAAACCATAGTTGTAAAATAATAACTTTAATAATAAAATAATTTTTGTCATTGTACAATACATAATTATAAATGTAGAATTAAATAAATAAATGCCATATTTTTTAAATTCTTTCACGTCACAATTTCATTTACTGTATGTCATTTAATGCATAGAAAAATATGGCTAGACTATCAATATTATACCGTACGATCGAAAAAAAGGACAGACAATGGATAATTTTAGCCAGGTCAATCTCTAGATCGATCATACGGTATTATTTTATACTTCACACAAACTTAAGAGAAAATATAATTTATACAAAAGTCAAAATAAAAAAAAAGATTTATATTCATGCGTCTGTCTCTTCCTCGATGTCTTCAGCCAGTTCCTCAGGTGTCCTCAGATCGATGGCTAGCCTTTTTACATGGTTGCCAGCTTCATTTTGCTCCCTCACCTTTTTGCCGTAATCCTGAAATGTTGCAGCCAGTGCATAGGTGATCTGTCTGGCTTGGTCACGTGAATCACAAACGAAGCTGTGACACATGAAAGGGGTAGCTAGAAAAAAATTGTTTTGCTTCTGAATATGGCTTTAACTTAAAATTATTAATACTATACCGCTTTTTAAGCTCTCATCAGCTACAATAATCATACTGAACACTCTGGTATACACTAAGTCTTGTACCCCGTAAGATATAACCTCTACAGTGAATTTATTTGTCTCCCCTTTGTATTTTTTTCCTTGTAACTCTGTGAAGGCGAATCCATCTTTGGATACCTCCACTTCTACTATAGGTAGAATGCTACCGGGTAATGCAGATTTGGCCTTACCCACCAGCATATCTACCGGTCTCCTTGTGTGTTTGATACCCCATAATCCGTTGGCTGGATGACTGCCTAAAAAATGAATAAACGTACAGGGTGATTTACTGTACCTAGAAAGTACCTACTCGATTCTACTGTCCTTCAGTAAGTAAAAATAATATTTATTTTTCATATCAACATAGGTCCGATTCTGCTTTGTTTCATAATTACAGGGTGTTAAAATCTTAATAATCTTTCAATTTTTTATAATTTTCTTCCAAGTACTTTTAGTGATACAGGGTGATACGAATGAAATTTTGAGGGTGAAAGTTACTATAAGTACTACATATTTTAATGCTTATCACAAGAATATTTTTCAAAAAAAAAACATGTGCCCCACTGACTTTTTTCTTTTGATATAAAAATTGTGTATTCCGTTTAATGCAAATTAAAAGGTGTATCTTGATATTTTGTCCATTCCGATCTCCTTGATGAGATAAACGTAATTTTATTAGTTGCAATTAATAAAAGTAAAATAAAAATCAAATTAATAAATTATTTATTTAATGCATTTTATTACTAAGTTTTATTAAAATTAATAACACTTATGTACAGGGTGGTCGAAAAAATGGCGTAAACCGCCTGTTGATATTTTCACTGCCAACAGAGATGCGGGGTCTTTTTGAATTTTTTACCATTTTGAAAATTGTCTATAACTCTTTTATTCCGCGGAATAATAAAATTCTGTAAAAACGTTCTTAAGGCACTTTTTTAAGCACAATCCAGTGGTGTAGTCGTTTTTTTTTTCTATGCTTGCTCTTTTTCTCAGAAATAGAAAAAAATATAATTTTTTAAATAGACATCATAGTTGGCTATGACCTTAAAAAAATGCTGGCATTTAACCCTTTCCAACGATATAAAGTTATGAGTATCTATTTCTAAGAATAGAGAGAAATATTAAGTTTTTTATCTTTATATCGAAGCGGGCCTTGATTTTGTGTTGACCTTTTTGTCTAATTCTTTTCTATCACAATTTAATGTTCTTTTAAAGACTTTTGAAAAGGTAAATTATCATTATATATTAGTAATTACAACTGAAATCGATACAATAAACAAAGAACAAAACTAAAAAAACGTATTTTTGAGTGACGAATATAGTTTTCTAAAAAAAATTATCAAATGTATTCAAACTGAGCACCTCCTTATCTTATTGCCTACAGAATAAACCTCTTTTGCGCACAGAGTCACAACGATTTATTAGGTGAGCTGGTGTAATAAGTCCAAAAGCTTGCCTAGTAGCCTTCTGCAATTCTTCTCTCCTCCTAATGCTTCTTCCCATACATAGAAAGTCTTTTAATTTCCCCCATAAAAAAGCCGAAATGAGTTAAATCACAGGACCTAGCAGGCTAAGATATGAAGTCTTTACGCTTTAACCACGCGGCCACCGGGGACTTGAAAGATTCTATGTAAAATTCTTACTTAAAAGATAATGTTTAGTGAAAGTACTTTTTTATTTATAAACATTTATTTAATTCTGTTTTTAGTATTTGTTCTTGTAGCGGCAACATAGATACATTATCTGTAAAAAATTCAACAGTCTAGCTATAACGGTTCATAAGATAGACCTTTGTGACAGACGGACGGACAGACGGACAGCGAAGTCTTAGTAATAGGGTTCCCGTTTTTACCCTTTGGGTACGGAACCCTAAAAATAAAGATTTTCACACCCTGTAGTTACGAAACAAAGCAGAATCGGACCTATGTTAATACAAAAATTAAATCGTATTTTTACGCGAGGAATTTCCCCACACAAGATAGTTTAATAATTTTTTTTTGCACATTGCGATATAAAAGATAACGATTAACGATGAAAGACGGAACTTACCCAAATATTTGACAGTAAATGTCATCGGTAAATCATTACCCGTTATCACGATCTCACCGTTATCACCCATCTAAACTTCGTTGTTTTTTTTTCGTTCAAACACCAATTTTATCACTTAATTCCAGTTATTTTTTAACGATAAACCGAAAATCTCTCTTTTCACTTAAAATTTCCACAAAGAACTACCTTTATTTTGTTTAAAATAAATGCATAAAAACTAGCAGGTATCACAGACGGCTGAACATTCGATATTTGGCCCGATGTCACCTCTATATGACGGACTTCCTGTGGTACTGTTTGGTTCCGGTCAGCTTGGTACCTTGTTCACCTGTACGAAGCGCGAAATCAACAATAAGTGCCACTAATTTCGTGTTTTTTTTATCAGTTTTAATCATAGTCGTAATCCTGTAGGTAGAGTGAGATAGATAATGAGATAAAAATTACATTAGATAAGTTATAAGTGATAAAAAGTTAATATTATACATGGTGAGTCCAGAAACAAAAATGAGATAAGCTTGATAGTTATTTATGTATCAATAATTGCCAGAGAGGTTCTTAAGAGTCTGTGTGGCCGAAGGAAATATATATTATATTTCAGAAATCTGTCAAAAGCTTAGCCTGATCCTGTTTTGTTAAGCCACACCGAAAATTCCAAACACACGTGCTTTGATTAAGGTTTGCAGAGCTTCAGAATTTGCCATAAAACAGCGAGCAATTTGTTAGAAAGCCATATAAATTATATATCACTGTAATCACAAAACTTCAGTCTGTTTCCGTGTTGTAACGGAATTTTAAATTATGTTCTTATTTTCGAGAAAATTTAGTCCAAACATAAGAAACATTTTGTTGATGTTTGACCATCAAAATCTTAAAAATAAAGAAGTTGTCTGAAAATGTGCTACAATACTGATATAGTATGATCCTTTATCTTTAATTTCCTACTTCATTTGTGTAAAAATACCTAGCCAGTTTTACATAAAACGTTAAATGCCGAAAGCTTATTTTGCTACTTTTTCAGACTAGTGAAATGGACTCTTAAGAGTTGTCTAATGTGTCTCTGATGCAACTTGTTTAATTTCTAGCCCAATTTCTTTGGTGCTTGTTCTTTCAGTGTACACAAACGAAAACATTTTTCCAGCTAAATATTTAATTGCTGTGATTTTTTCCGTTGTTGTTTACAAATCAAACAGCATTATTGTTTAGAATATTTCAACAAAAAGGCTCGTTGTGTGTGCTTACTAATAACAGTAATAACCAATCAAGTCATTCAAAACAGCTGTTTGTTTTGGGACTAATTATTATTATTTAATTTTACTAATGGTATTGTATTCGTCAAGGACGTTGTGATTTGGAGATTTAAAAAATTACAAATAAAATAGTTCTGTTGTTATTGGATTTAATTTTTATTTTAAAATATTTTAGGCAATATGAAGTTAGTTTTCTTCAATACTTCTTCTTCAGGTGCCTCTTCTCAACAAAGATTCTTCTTGTTTTTCTGCTACTACCGTATCACGATCCTTTTCGATACTGCCATATCACGATCTTTCTTGGTAATTCCCAGCATATTTTGTTCAATGGAGTGTTCTTATATATTTCGAAAAAATAATAAATCATCACATATATAATTACTATAACGCCTTAATTATTTTTTGCCAAAAACAGCGGAAAAAGATATTTTTCTCCATTTTTTGACACAAGCACGATATCACCGCTCGCTGTTTTCCCAAGTTAATTATGATTTAATTACGCCCAAATTACATGACGTAACAAATTGTTCCCATGCCGTTTGCTCATCTGTTACAGCACGCACTTTATTTTATTCTTTTTTTTTAATTTGTGTCTTTGCCATCAAATTACCTACTTGGGTGACAATTTGCGAGATTTATTTCATCAATGACACAGAAAAAACAATAATTATTCAACGTTGCATAAACTAAAATTATTACAACCATATATTCTATAAGAATAAAATAAATGCAAAAGCATAGAGGACTTGATTACATTTTTTAAGTAAAGATGTATTTTAGAACCGTGTTATTTCAACTAAATCACACAATTACTCATGTAAGGGTATCTCAAAATGAATTTAGCAAAAATTAAAGTAAACTACAAAGAGCTATTAGACATGCAGCAAAGACATTCAAATCAATAACACAACACTAAAAATAGTAGGAGAATATACAGGGTGTTCCAGATATAAGTGCAGGTATTTTAATTGGTAGTATAGTTCAACCCCAGAAAAACGCCTGAGGTTTTTCGCAAAAAATTTTTTTTGAAAATTCGAAATTTTTGAATTTTTTTGGAAATGTTTTAGTTAAAAAACATAATTTCTTGATAATATGGCAACATAGGTATTAGATTAAATTTACTAGAAAGAAAATCCAGAAAAGACCCAGTGGTTCGCAAAATATTAGCACAAAATAATTTTTTGGAAATTTTCAAAGTAAAATAACTCCGTTATTTTGGACTAATTTGAAAAACGATACTTCCACTTATTTCTGGGACACCCTGTATATAAGGACAACTAATACACAGCTCGGGATCTCTACTACCAGAAATCAACAGAAATTATTAGTTATTTATTAGTCATATATTAGTCATGAGCTTCACAGATCTTTCTCTGGACCAAAGATCTGAGAAGGCAAATGAGCAGAGCAACGGCCATGTTCTGAGGCGAATAGTGTGGACAAACCCCTTCATGCGAACAGGCAGCAAAATTAAAATTTATAAGACCTGCATCAGACCAATAATGGCATAGAAATCCGAGAGGAAACAAACAAAACCAAAAGCATGTTGAGCGTCGCTGAAATGAAGAACCTAACAACCATAATAGGGAAGACAAAAAAGAGACAGAATTAGAAACACAAATATCTGACAACAATGAGGAATACAAGACGTAGTGAGTTTTTTATTTACACAGACTTAGTATAATCCTTTTTTCAAGATTTAGCAACGTAGTTTCATGATCTTCGTCTTGTTAGACAAATTTGGAAAAATGAGATACCTAATAATCCTTTAATAAGAAGAGATTACCACGCCGCTGATTATATTAAAAAGTATTAAAGAAAATAATCTGATATTTTTGTTTCTTAGAAAAAACAACTAAAAATATTTTTCTTTTACCTTATCTGTGTGCTTTTATTAGATACCTATTTGTAATTAACTGATAAGAGTATGATTATTTATTAATGCATGATAATAACCAATAATCATTTAAAAGGATTATTATTAGTTGTAAAAATAAAAACATATTTTATTAAAAATATTTTTTGTGTTGTTTGTTTTTTTACGCAATCCTTTTAATAATAATTACACAAAATTTAACCTAAATTTTTGGCATTTTAAAATTTTCAAATATTTTTTACTTTAATTAAAAATACTTTTTTCAAAATTAATGTATTATATTAATTAATTAATGCTTATATCATCTTAGTTATGCTAAATATTAATGGAATCATAACTCTTTTGGGACATTATTAACAGCATTTAAGATGCAATAATTCCCTCTAGCTTTTATAGGTAACAACCACGAAATACAATAGATATTTTGAGTAATAATATAAAATAAAAATGGAACGCAATGGAGAAGAATGATGAAGATGAAGAAGAATGGAGAAGAATTGTAAACTCAGTTAACAGCGACAACCAAAAGGTAAAAAGGCAACAAAGAAATGATAGTTTTGAACGTCCAGAGAGATAACATCACATATCGGGCTTTTCAGTCACAGAAAAGCTCAATAAAGAAAACGCCTTGCGTGACCATCTTCTGATGCGTGTCAAATACTTGTCAACGAATAATGGCAGTATATGGCAGTATGTATGTATGTATGAATATATTTTCAAAGATACGCCACCCTGTATAGCATGAATATTCTTTGAAATATAACTAATTATCCAGTGTAACTCCTACAAGGTTTATAAAATATCTTAAAATTAATTTACCATCCATTTTATTACATTTCTTATAAACTATAATTTAACTTAAATTACTTATTATAGTCACTATAAAACTGTTATTGGCAGGGTATCTTAAAACCCTAAAGAATGAAATTGAATATCATTGAAATAGGAGGTATTTGATCTCATACAGGTAGTGCAATAAAATCCTTTTAACTTGAATTAGAGCTAATGAAAAATGTTTCAAAACACTTGAAATGGCCCCGACAAGGTTAATAAAGATACAGGGTGATAGATCCCTTTGAATAAAAGTATTAACGAAGGAATATAATGCTATAATAAATGCCACAAATGTTTGGGAGTTATTCATCGGTCGCTACCATGTGAACTAATCTGTTTATGGTCACATAAAACTTAATTCCAGTGCCGTGGTGTT